TGTAACGGCAGCGTCTCCAACTTGGGAGCACTCACTCACACTTACACATGTGCATCTGCCATCGATGGGATTTTTCTGTTTTCGGCATCCCCATCTCTCTCGCACGCTCCCACTCTCATCTGGTTGTTAGTGTTGGACACAGCTAGCTAAGGAATTAGTAGAAATAGCTAGAGATGCTAGAAGGAAGGTGAAGAAATAACTAAATTGTAACATTTGTAATTTTTCTAAGCTGTTTCTATTTCAATTAAATTAATCCTGTAATCCTGTAATTAAATCCTGTAAGAAAATAATAATTATTTAGGTATTTTCGCATCTTAACTTTTTTCTCAGGTCAAAAGTAACTAAATTTACTGCACTGATGGCAGCTGCAAGCCAAACACTTGTGCAAACTCTGAGCGAGATGGAGAGAGTGGGAGCTATAGCCATTTCGATTTTATCGTTTGTTTTTCAAGAGAGCTTAAAATTAACATTTTTTAATTTTTGGACGCTCTTATGCAATTTGGAGATGGCAGAAAATTAAAATACAAAACAAATGCCATAATCAGGCATTTGTTTTCTTTTTGCGTGTTACCATCGGCATTTCTCGGTAATTGTAATTGCGTATTAGTTGTTTTGCTCACTTGCTTCGCTCAGCGTAGTTTCTCTCTCACTACCTCTCTTGCACCCACACATTCACATACTCACAGCTCAAAGAAGCTGGGGTCGGAAAAATTTTTTTTTTTAAATTTGAAAGCTGGAATCGTTTGCCCATCGTTTGCCCATGTTTGCCCACCTTTTACTTTTTTTGCCCACGTCCAGTTTTGAAAATATTCGACTTTGAAAATTTTCATCATTTTTCGAAAAAACAAAAGTTGACTTTTTTCAAATTTTTTTTTTGGAAATCGCAATAACATCGTTTGCCCACGATTGCCCACCCTTTAGAATTTTGAAAAAACTTCAAGTTTAGAAAATTTTCAAAATTGTACTGGGAAATTTTGAATTTTAAAATTTTGAAAACTGGAATCGTTTGCCCATTCGTTGACCATGTTTGCCCACCCTTTACTTTTTTTTGCCCACGTCCAGTTTTGAAAATATTCAACTTTGAAAATTTTTCAAAATTATAACGTTTGCCCACCCTCTAAATTAAATATTTTTAACAAAAACGTTTGCCCACCTCTTAAAACTAAATAAAATCGTTTGCCCACCCTTTAAAATTAAATATTTTTAACAAAAAACGATTGCCCACCTCTTAAAACTAAATAAAATCGTTTGCCCACCCTCTAAAATTAAATATTTGTAACAAAAAATGATTGCCCACCTCTTAAAACTAAATAAAATCGTTTGCCCACCCTTTAAAATTAAAAAATTTCGTTTGCCCACCCCCTAAAATTAAGATTTTTTAAGAAAAAACGTTTGCCCACCTCTTAAAACAAAATAAAATCGTTTGCCCACCCCCTAAAATTAAATATTTTTAACAAAAATGATTGCCCACCTCTTAAAACTAAATAAATCGTTTGCCCACCCTTTAAAATTAAAAAATTTCGTTTGCCCACCCCCTAAATTTAGTTTTTTTAAGAAAAACGTTTGCCCACCTCTTAAAACTAAATAAAATCGTTTGCCCACCCCCTAAAATTAAATATTTTTAACAAAAAACGATTGCCCACCTCTTAAAACTAAATAAAATCGTTTGCCCACCCCCTAAAATTAAATATTTTTAACAAAAATCGTTTGCCCACCTTTTAAAAATAAATAAAATCGTTTGCCCACCCTTAATTTTAAGTATTTATATTAAAAACGTTTGCCCATGTCTTAAAATTAAATATTATCGTTTGCCCACCCTTTAATTTTAAGTATTTATATTAAAAATCGATTGCCCATGTCTTAAAATTAAATATTATCGTTTGCCCACCCCTTAATTTTAAGTATTTATATTTAAAAACGTTTGCCCAACTCTGAATATTAAATAATATCACTTAATGTGTTATGTTTACAATTGTTAAATCCGTAATATCGGTTGCAGAAAGTACTTTTTACGAAAAAAAAAACAAATATTACAAAATTATTATAAAATCTGGTTTGGAATTGGTTCAAATTGCTACGTTATAAAAATTCTACTAAAAATTGTACAATTCAATTTTTCCGTTTTTTAATTTTGCATAAAACATACCAGCTATGGCCGAAAAACATCTAACGACAGGTGCCAGGACAAAAAAACACTACTGCCTCAAACATGTTGCAGACAGAGTGGCGGCCATACGATATAAGTCGTTGTTGCAGAATTGTGATCCCGAAACTTTATGATTTCTACCGCCTATCTGACGCCAAAATTTCAGTGGAATTGTTCTAATAAAGTTTCACGCATGAATGATCGCAACCGACAGTCGTCTGGGAAGACTTCATGTGGCGCCTCTGCCTGCGTATGCCAGATCATACAAAATGTGGGACTACCTGAGGCAAGGACTTGCTGGCGCCATGTATAAAGATGGGAATATCTGCATATTAGAATACAGGGATCTATATATGTAAATACTACTAAATAATAGACGTAAAGGCGCCACATGAAGTCTTCCCAGACGACTCTCGGTTGCGATCATTGATGCGTGACACTTGTCTAAACGATTTTAAACGACACTTGGGCAAACGATTTTATTTAGTTTTAAGAGGTGGGCAATCGGTTTTTGTTAAAAATATTTAATTTTAGAGGGTGGGCAAACGATTTTATTTAGTTTTAAGAGGTGGGCAAACGTTTTTTCTTAAAAAAACTAAATTTTAGGGGGTGGGCAAACGAAATTTTTAATTTTAAAGGGTGGGCAAACGATTTTATTTAGTTTTAAGAGGTGGGCAAACGTTTTTTGTTAAAAATATTTAATTTTAGGGGGTGGGCAAACGATTTTATTTAGTTTTAAGAGGTGGGCAATCGGTTTTTGTTAAAAATATTTAATTTTAGAGGGTGGGCAAACGATTTTATTTAGTTTTTAGGGGGTGGGCAAACGAAATTTTTTAATTTTAAAGGGTGGGCAAACGATTTTATTTAGTTTTAAGAGGTGGGCAAACGTTTTTTGTTAAAAATATTTAATTTTAGGGGGTGGGCAAACGATTTTATTTAGTTTTAAGAGGTGGGCAATCGGTTTTTGTTAAAAATATTAAGTTTTAAAGGGTGGGCAAACTTTATAATTTTGAAAAATTTTCAAAGTTGAATATTTTCAAACTGGACGTGGGCAAAAAAAGTAAAGGGTGGGCAAACATGGGCAACGAATGGGCAAACGATTCCAGTTTTCAAAATTTTAAAATTCAAAATTTCCCAGTACAATTTTGAAAATTTTCTAAACTTGAAGTTTTTTCAAAATTCTAAAGGGTGGGCAAACGTGGGCAAACGATGTTATTGCGATTTCCAAAAAAAAATTGAAAAAGTAAACTTTTGTTTTTTCGAAAAATGATGAAAATTTTCAAAGTTGAATATTTTCAAAACTGGACGTGGGCAAAAAAAAGTAAAAGGTGGGCAAACATGGGCAAACGATGGGCAAACGATTCCAGCTTTCAAATTTAAAAAAAAAAATTTTTCCGACCCCAGCTTCTTTGAGCTCATACTCACACGGCCGAGTGAGTTTTCGTCAGGTTTGTTTTGCTCGTTAGTTCGCGTTTGTTGTTGCTAATTTTTTTGCGCAGTCTTTGCCTTTGTCGTTTTGTTTCTGATGCATTGTTGTTTTTATAATTTGCACACATTTCTCCTTGTGCGATTGTATGTGTGTGTGCGCTAAAAACCTGTTTCCTCAAGGTGTTTGTTTGTAAGCGTACAAGTGTGTGTTTGTGTGAGTGCTTTTTGCTGTTATTGTTATTATGCTTTTATCTAGTTGTTTGTCTGGGACAGCTGGCTGCGGCTCCGCCCACCCGCCGCCGCCTCTTGGCCTAGCTAGCCTTTTGCTATTTTTAGCCAACAGCTCGCTAATACCAACCTTTAGAATTTATTCGCCATAATATCACTGCAATTATCAATGGTGTATTCTGATAAATTATGGTATATGATCTTAAATGATGATGTGATCGTGATCTCAGGACTTTCTGAAGGATTGTAATCGATTTATAAACAGTTGAGTCCATGGAAAGCAATAATTATTATAATATGCTAGTTTTTATCAGGTTAATTAATGTGCATACAAAATTTCAAATGTTTAAAAATTGTAGATTTTTGAAAATTTTAACGATGTTACCCCTAACCTTTTTTTTAAATCGAAAAATGTTGTAACGGGACATAGCTAGATCGACTCTGATGTTGATGTTGATCAAGAATTTATATGATTTATAGGGTCTGAAATGACTTCTTCATAGTGTTAAAAGCATCTGACTAAAATTAGAAAACCCTGCAAGGGTATAATAGAGGAATTATAATCAAATAATCATAAACTTTAAATACCAGGTATGTTAGGGCAACCTGTATTTCTTGTTGTGCAGATCCACGAATTATATTTGCTGGGAAAAAGGCGAATATTATGCAATTATCTCGATGGCTAATTGCTGTTGTGTATTGGTAATTTCCCCTGTCTAACCGGCGCACTCTTATCGCTCTTGGCCTTCTGGTAGCGGGTAATGGCAGAGATAGCTACATATAGTCGGCGTCTCCAGATTCCAGTTCTCCTTCCCGGGGACGTAAGGTTCCATTGAACTCGGGACAAGAATTTATATACACTCGATACATACATACATTTGTAGTATATAGTATTGAAAAACCAGTTGCACTCCGCGTTCTAATCTCGCGCTGCCCATTAAGACGCCGGCATTGCTGATTTATGCAAGCAATTGACTTTACTCAGCTACCCGTCAAATATTTTATGAATACGAGGTACGCAGTCACTGGAGATATTTCAGGAATATGGGGATTGCGAGGTCATTGGTTGATACGATCTGAGCATGAAGCAAAGCGAAGCATTTTTCGAACTTTGTAGTAACTGAATTTTATAATAGTTTAATGCTCTCCGCTAAATCCCTTTCTAATGTAACTCGGATACCCTTTGCCTGTGTTTCAGGAGTACGACATCTCCAAGAAATGCGAATACCTGTTCAAACTCGACTACAGCCTCATAGAGCTGGACAACTCGAACGGATTGCTCAGCCCGCGATACCCTGGCCGGATACTCATTCCCGAATGCGAGCACGGACACATGGCGAAAACACTGATACCGGGAAATGGACTTTTTGGTCCAGTTGGCGGTGGTTTGGGTGGAGGTGGGTCCTCGGGAACGACGGCAACGGCCACGCCACTGAACAGTAGTGCTGGCAGCACCGGAAGCGAAGGCGTGGGGATCCAAGCCTTTGTCACGTTCGCCAATCCCTGCAGACGCCACAGCAGTCGGCGGCGTCGATGCATCCACTCCAGCAGCAATATCCCTCACAGCCACAGTATCCTTCCTCCCAGCAGCCACATCCACTCCAGCAGCAACAGCAACAACAACCCGCGCAACAGCAGCCCCAACATACGATCTACGAGGACCAGTATGACATTCAGCGGATGCGGGAGCTGGTAACGATGGCCAAGTACGCGAGATGCCGCCAAAGGTTCGCCGTGCCCGTGATCATGTATCGCGGGAAGTACATTTGCCGATCGGCCACGCTATCCGTGATGCCGGAAACCTACGGCCGGAAGGTGGTAGACTATGCCTACGACTGCCTGAGCGGTGGCAATTATACGGCGCCCAATGGCGAGGAGAACGATGCAGATTCCACTGACGAATCGCTGATCAATCACATCCACGACCAGGCTCAGTCACAGTTTAGCTACGACGAGGTCATCAAGAGCGACATCCAGCTGCTTCACACGCTCAACGTCTCCACCATTGTTGACCTAATGGTGGAGAATCGCAAGATCAAATACTTTATGGCGTAAGTGAATAATAAAACTTCCTAAAGCTTCCTTCTTTAATAATCTTATACGTGTTTTTAGCGTTTCCTCGTCGGAAAAGGCGGATCCCAACAAGCATTACAAGAGTTTTAACCTGCTATCGCTGCCGTATCCGGGTTGTGAGTTCTTCAAGAAGTTCCGGGACAATAACTACATGGCTCGCAACCTGCACTATAACTGGAAGCAGTCATTTAACGATGCCAATATCAATATACCGAATCTGGGACCCGCCGCCGATATCGATGTTGTGTGGCCGGAGTACCGTGACTGGGATCTGGTGGCCATTACGCAGAACTATCTGCGTGCAACGCTCAAGTACGTGCAAGAGGATAGTTCCGGCTTGCTGATTCACTGCATCAGTGGCTGGGATCGCACACCGCTGTTCGTCTCGCTTGTCCGGTTATCCCTTTGGGCAGATGGACTGATCCATCAGTCGCTGAACGCCATGCAGATGGCGTACTTTACACTGGCCTACGACTGGTACCTGTTCGGCCACCAACTGCCCGATCGCCTTAAGCGAGGCGAGGACATCATGTTCTTCTGCTTCCACGTGCTCAAGTTCATCACGGACGAGGAGTACAGCATTGTGGAGCATCGCAAGCGGACCAAGACCTCAAGCAGCAGTGGCAGCAGTGTGATAGTCATCAAGTCCGAGGGCTGCGACGATGAGCCGCTGAAGGAGTGAGTACTGGAAGGATTTGTTTTCAAAACCAGAAGCTTACCCGTTGACTTTTTCAGGGACTACATCCTGGCCTTTGATCAAGATAGCAACGACAGCTACTCAAACTGTTCCAACTGTGATATGTCCATAACAGATAACTTTTATGCCACAACGCCAGCGTCAGTCAATCCGCTGACCAGCAGATCGCCGAATCCCAAGCGGTAAGTGATTTCTTCAACACCTGGGAAACCATTAACTATACTGGCCAACTCTTCATTAGATCCAGAACCAGTCCCATCTCAGTGCCCGGATCAAATGCCCGGCAGCGCCAGGAGTCCACCTCATCGAATGGCAGCTGGCAGGTAGTCACGGATACGGGCTCTATAGACTCAATGATGAACGGCAGCTACATGATGCGGTTTGTGGCCCAGCAGCAGGCTGCGGACGGTGGCAGCAGCTCCTCGAACATTCCTATGTACAACGGTGGCAATGGCTACCACTGCAGCATCAATGCGGCGTCGAGCGGCAGCGGCAGCGGAAGCGGCAGCAGCATAAGCAATGGCAGCGCAACGCACGGTTTCGCAAATGGTTCCTCCAAAGATATTGGTGGCGGCAGCACCATGGCCAGCAAGCAGTGCATTAACTTGTGAGTTTCTTTCGGAGATTCGCGAACAGAAACCGAGAGTAATTAACGTAAAACTTAATCTTTTGCAGACGAAAGCAACGCCTGAATGCAGTGCGCGCCATTTTTATTCAAGCCTACGGCAAGACGATTGGACTGAAATTCAAGGAGGGCTCCTCCATGAACCTCGCCACGTTCATTGGCAACCTGGCGGACCAACTGTTTTGAGGCTGCAAATTGTTAGCTCCCCCTCCACACATTGTTTTGTTTCTTGTTGTTCAGTGGCTGCCTGCGGGCTTTTCACCAAACGACGACTGTATTTTCGTAGACACCTGTTGAATTGCGTTCATTATGTGACTGTTGTTGTTGAAATTGTGTAATGAAGAAAATGGATAACTGATTAACTAATTAAGCATCGAACGAACGAACACTCCTAGACAACGTGCATAGTACAACTCGTTCTCCTGTCCTGTCCTAGTTCTCCCGCCTCCTGCTCTCCTGCTCTTTGTTTGTTTAGTTGTTAGGTTTTTTTCGAGAATGCAAAGCAAACGAATTACAAAATGCGATTCGGATTATACAATAGCCTTAAGTTGTAATTTATAGTAATGTGTATTTTTTAAATAAACTTATGAGCATTTGATACAAAGTGAAGAGTTTAGTGTTTCGCGGTGAATCGACTAGATCGTCGCATGCTGGACAATGGCATATATTCGTCCATATCCAAACGTTTCAATCGGACTCGCACATTTTTACAAAACTCCTTGGCGCTCTTTATGGGTACAATAACGTTATAAGTAACTGCTCCTTCCGTAGCGAGATTGTCATTGGATTTGATCGGGGACGAATTTGGTGGCTCTAACCCATCTTCATCTTCATCAACTGGTTCTATCTTGATTACGGGCACGTTTGTTCCATTCGTGACTTCTTCGGCGCTGCTGAACACATTGCTGATCACCAGGCCCGTTACATTAGCATTCACAATATTGGGCGATTGTGATTGGGAGGAGGAGGAGCCATTATCCATTTCCAGGCGCTTCAAGGTGTCCGGTGGCAGTTCCTTCACCTTTATAGACGCAAAAAACTCATCGTACTCGCTCTGAACCACCCTCTTCGTTCTAGTGTTCATATCATCGTATAAGTACTGTGAGCGACGCTCCTCGTCCATGATAAGGTCTAAAACCTCCACCTCGAGGCGCAGCCGCTGGCTATGGGAGAGCTCCTCCACAAAAGGCAGCTGACTAAGCACAAGATCCTGGCACCTAGAGTTGCATGTCTCCTTGGGCTTTTCGCCATTCAGACGATTGTTCAGGTGTACCACAATCTTCCACATCGGCTCCGGAATCTGACTCTTTGCCCGTGCCAGCGAATTGATCAGCGGCCACAAGATCTCCCAGCGCCATTGCAGCTCCGCCGCGGAGAACGGTGTGCTCAACGGTATGCCCTCGTAGCTCTCGTTGAAGGCTTTGGTCACCTGCTCCCAGCCCCAATCATTATAGTCCTGCTGTGGAGACACTTGCCTGCTGAAGAGGAACGGGTACATGCAAAGGAGCTCCAGGAGCCGCAAGTCGTTCAGCACTACCTGGGAGTCGGCGTTCGTGTTGGATATGTTGATTTCCAGTAGGGCCATGCGTTCATCCTCGGGTGAACTAGCCGTTTCGTCAGCAGTGTCGGTATCGGCGCCCATTTTAATTATTTAAAACAATAAAAAACGGATACAGGCTTCGTTTTTAAATTCCTTTCTTCTTCTTTGATTTTAATTTGTGGACACCGTAAGATTGTTTCTTCTTTGATAGCTGGTCACACTTACATTGACTGTAGTTGGTGTTGCCATACTATAAAATTGTATTCCCTTCTCGAGTGTAATTTTATATTGCCCTGCGTTGGTGAAATTTTTGAGAAACCCTCGAAAATACTGATAAAAGTCGAAGTCACAAAACAGCGTTACCAGACAGAGCTTACTTTTTTTTTTTTTTTTTTTTTTTTCAAAAATAGCTATCGATAGCTCGGTAAACATATATCGACAGTTTGGCCATCTCTACCGAAGCGTCGTGAAAAAAGCCGCAAAATACACACAGACGACTTAATTTTTGCATTTCTATCTTGAACAAATTGCTGGGAAAAGTATTTGCACGGCCCCAAGATGAGTGGCGGCACCATGCTCTACGGCGGGGATGAGATCGGAGCCTTGGTCTTCGACCCTGGGCACCATTCCCTGCGTGTGGGCTACGCGCAGGAGGATTCGCCAAAGGCGGAGATTCCGTCTGTTGTGGGGATTGGAGCTGCTCCAGAGACCAATCTCGACCCAGAGACCAAAACGGACAACAATGCGACGCCAAACAGTGAGTTTTTTAACCAGCACTAGTAGTTTCATTCAAGCATCCAAATCCTCACAGATTCTGACCAGCGCAAGTATTATGTGGACACAAACTACGTAAATGTGCCTCGTTCCCAATGGAAGTGCAGACGTATATGAAGGACGGCATGATCGACAACTGGGACCTGTTTGAGAAGGTGATTGATTATGCCTACGCCAATGTTATCCAGTCGGAGCCGGAGTACCATCCCGTGCTCTTCTCAGAGGCCTCCTGGAATGTGCGCAACAATCGGGAGAAGCTCACGGAGCTAATGTTCGAGAAGTACAACGTTCCAGCCTTCTTTCTGGTCAAAAACGCCGTGCTAGCCGCCTTCTCCAGCGGACGGGCCACTGCTTTGGTTGTTGACAGCGGAGCCACTCACACCTCAGCTGTGCCCGTTCACGAGGGCTATGTACTGTCGCAGGCCGTGGTTAAGTCTCCACTGGGTGGCGACTTCCTCTCCCGGCAGTGCCGTCAGCATCTAGAGAAGCACGGGATTGATCTGTCGCCGGTGTACAAGATTGCTTCCAAAGATGTGGTAAAGGAGCGCGACAATGCTCGATTTACGCTACGCAAACTGCCAGAAAACCTAACGCAATCGTGGCAGAACTACATGCTGCAGCTAATGATGCAGGACTTCCAGATGAATGTGCTGCAGGTGCTGGAGGGCCCTTTTGACGAACGTGTGGCTGCCCAGATCCCAACGGTGCACTATGAGTTCCCCAACGGCTATCACCAGGACTTCAGTTCCGAGAGGTTTAAGATAGCCGAGAGTCTGTTCGACAATGCAATGCTGGGAGCCGGCCAACTGGCGTCCACCAGCGTGGGCATGTGTGATGCCGATGTACGCCTGTCTCTCTTCGGCTCGGTCGTGGTAACTGGTAAGGGATTTACTTTCACTTTACAGCTAAGTATTTCAATAATATTACGATGATTTCCACAGGTGGCAATACTCTGCTGCAAGGTTTCCCTGAACGGCTAAATCGCGATCTGCAGCTACGTGCTCCCTCCAATACGCGACTGAAAATGATCTCGGCCAACGGCAGCGTCGAGCGGAGATTCGGTGCCTGGATCGGCGGATCCATACTGGCAAGCATAGGCACCTTCCAGCAAATGTGGATTTCGTCGCAGGAGTACGAAGAGGCCGGCAAGAGTCAGGTGGAGCGCAAGTGTCCGTAAGCCAGCACCAGCGTGCGCGTTCGAATTCCAATTTTAATTTTAAAGACGCAAAACTCTATGTAATTATACAATTGTCAACTTATAAATGTCAAACTGAATTTGCCACGCAGATTTCAAAGCACCGAGTGGGTTCAAGAAAAAAGGAGAGGCTTCTTCACACATAATAATGTACCTACATATGTATATTTTTACTGCGAGGACCCCGACGCCGAGGTTACAGTTTCACATTTATAGGGAACCTTTGTAGGCTGCTCTTCTTTGTACTCCGGCTCCAGTTCGTACGTAATGGAAATGGAGTGGACTTTGGGCTTTCGCTGGAACTGATGGTAGAATGGCAGTGGTACGCATGGCTGCTTGTGGCGCATCAACGTCTCCTGTGTGATTTCATGGCATAGTTTTATAAAACGTCACATGGCTCCCGACATGGTGTTGTCGCAAACGCATTTCTGTAAGAAGAAAAACGTCTTTGTTAGCCGCAAGTCTTGGCTTACGTATATTACTACATTACCTTGGCGTTCAGTATGTCCTCCGACCAGTCTTCCTTCGCTATGCGTCCCACTGCATTGACCAGGATCTTCTTAACTTTAATGACGTTCTCGGCAAAGTTCTCAAGACATCCTGCACATTGACGCCCTCGCAACCCATGCGCCAGCAGTCATAGTCAGTGGCAATTGCCACCGAACCATAGAGCAGGCCCGCCTCTTTGGCCAGCACCACCTCCGGACACGTGGTCATGTTGATAAGATCGCCGCCCCACAGACGGAACATGTGGCTCTCGGAACGGGACGAGAATCGCGGACCCTCGATCGTCACTATTGTCGCCTTTTCATGGGTGGGTATCTCAAGCTCCTTGGCCGCTTCGATCAGAACCTTGCGGGTGCGTTCACTGAATGCCGGAAACATGGGCAGATGGCAAACACCAAGTGGACTTTGCGCATTACCGTCGTAGAAGGTCTGCAGGCGTTTGGTGGTGCGATCTATGAAGTCGTGAGGAATCACCAGGTTGCCAGGCTTGATTTCCTCGCGCAGGGAGCCGCAGGCCGTCGACACTATTAAGTGGGTGCAGCCCACATCGCGCAAAGCCCAGATATTGGCGCGGTAATTAACGTTGGAGGGCATAATGTCGTGCTTGCGTCCATGTCGTGCGAGGAGGACACACTGGACCCCATTGATTTCGCCCTCTATCAGGGCATCCGAGGGTTCGCCGTATGGCGTCTTCACCACCCTCTCCTGACGGTTCTCCAGGATATCAGGATCGTCCAGGCCGGAACCGCCAATTATACCAATCTGCCGAGTGGTGAGAGACGAAATAGAATTCAAATTTCCTGATTTCGATAAGCGTGTAACCTCACCTTGACTGGCAAAGGGTCCAGATTTGTGTCTTTACACTTGATCGTAATCGTGGCCATGGCTAATTTGATTCAGGCTGCTGTGGCGGTCTGGAGCAGAGTGAACGTTCCGCTGATAGCGCGCTGATAACTGTGTGTCTACACAGTAGGGTGCAAAAGCCGCAAAAGCTTGGGCATATTGGTGATGGCTATCTGTTCGCTTTTAAGGGTGTGTTAATTATTTTAATATTTAGCTTCGAAAAAAGCAAAATCACAGAATTTAAAGAGTTTCAGTAGAATAAGCTACGCTCTGAATTTGTTTTTATTTATATTTTAAACAAATAAGAATTGCAGGGTATTGTGCACTCATTGCAAACGAAAATTTATTGGAATAACTTATCGAATAGCTACGAACCTAACGCTTTACAACACTATTCGTCAAAAGAAGAAGCACGAAACGAATGTAAACAGCTGGCCTGTGCGCACATGTGCCTTCAAAACCAGGATACGAAGCCACCATTATGTACCACCTGGGACAGGATCTACCCGGCAACGATGTGGACGACATCGAGGATCTAATATCTGCCGACGATGTCAAGCCCCGGGAACGCTATGAAAAAAGAAGAACGTCACAGTGCGTGCCAAACGGCGGGCGCAAATCCGGCCGGAGGAGGAAAAGGAGGACAAACCAAAGCCCACTATCCACGAAAGTGTGATACCTGGACCCAAAAGGTCTTTGTGAAGACATGGGGCTGCGCTCACAACAACTCGGACTCGGAGTACATGGCTGGGCAGTTGGCTGCCTACGGTTACAAATTGAGCGGCAAGGAGGAGGCAGATCTGTGGCTGCTCAACAGCTGCACAGTTAAGAATCCATCAGAGGACACGTTTAGAAATGAGATCGAGTCGGGCATGCGCAACGGCAAGCATGTCGTGGTCGCCGGCTGCGTTCCACAGGGTGCTCCAAAGTCGGATTACCTTAGCGGGCTCTCTGTGATTGGTGTTCAGCAATCGATCGCGTGGTGGAGGTGGTCGAGGAGACGCTCAAGGGCATAGTGTTCAGCTGCTGCAGAACAAAAGAAGGTGCACGGCCGTCGCGTAGCTGGGGCCCTCTCTCGCTGCCCAAGGTTCGCAAGAATCCATTGATCGAGATCATATCCATCAATTCGGGCTGTCTGAATCAGTGTACATACTGCAAGACGAAGCACGCTCGCGGCGATCTAGCCAGCTATCCACCGGAAGAGGTAGTGGAGCGTGCCCGTCAATCCTTTGCCGAGGGCTGTTGTGAAATCTGGCTAACATCGGAGGATACTGGCGCCTATGGTCGTGATATAGGCAGTTCCCTGCCGGAATTATTGTGGCAGTTGGTAGAGGTAATTCCCGAACATTGTATGCTACGTGTGGGCATGACCAATCCGCCCTACATCTAGAGCACCTCGAAGAGGTGGCCAAGGTGCTGCAGCACCCGAGAGTCTACGCATTTTTGCATGTTCCCGTGCAGGTGAGGATTACCCACTATATATATATCCATTCATAGTCCTTCATAATTTCCTCTAAATCCACTAGAGTGGCAGTGATTCGGTGCTGGGTGAGATGAAGCGGGAGTACTGTCGCCAGGAGTTCGAGCACGTCGTGGATTTTCTGAGGGAACGTGTTCCTGGCGTTACCATAGCTACGGACATCATCTGCGGATTTCCCACCGAAACCGAGGAGGACTTTGAGGAGACGATGAGCCTGTGCGCCAAGTACCACTTCCCCAGTCTTTTTATCAACCAGTTCTTTCCTCGCCCCGGCACACCAGCTGCCAAGATGGAGCGCATTCCCGCGAATCTGGTGAAGAAGCGAACCAAGCGCCTCACGGATCTCTTCTACACATACAACCCATATGCTAATCGGGTGGGAGAGATATATACAGTGCTGGTGACGGAAGTTTCCCACGACAAGCTTCACTATGTGGGACACAATAAGAGCTACGAACAGGTGTTGCTGCCAATGCGGGAAAATCTCCTGGGTACTCGTGTCCATGTCCGCATCACCAGCGTCAGCAAGTTCAGTATGGTGGGCGAGATTCTCGACGACGAACAAGATTGGACGAGATGTGCGAACAAGCAGGAGGACGCGACGCCAGTAGTACGGGCCCAAGCGAGGAGCAGAGATCAGCTGATACAGCGATATGTGGGCATTGCCCTAGTGGTTGGCAGCATTGCATTTCTCGTCCAGATGTTCGTGCGCTTCATATAGTTAGTCAAATAAAACACTATCTTGTTCCGAATTCATAATTTAAGTAACGCTTTGAACTTAACCTAGGGTACATTAGAAACATGTTGTTTCCAGTGACGTGGATGTTTGGTTACATTCTCCTCAGTACTCGTCCGAGGGTTCTGTACCGAAGTAGCGATCGCCAAAGTTACCAATGCCGGGTATAACATAAAACTTACTATTAATCTCCGGATCCAGAGCGGAAGTAACAATTTTAACCTAAACAAAAAAGGGTTTAAAGATTTCTCCATGAAACTGACATGTTCCAATCTTACCTTAGGAAAGGCATAGGCAATGGAGTGCACACCTATCTCCGCCATCAGCAGCGAGGCCAAGATGATGTTCTCCTCGGGCACATCGTGATCCAGCAACACCCGTATGGCCATCATTGCTGCGGCTCCGGTGGCCACGGTGGCATCCATTAGTATCACCTTGTAGTCTTTTATGTCTTTGGGCAGCCTCAGGTAGTAGAGCTCCGGCTCGCCGGTTTTCAGATTGGTCTGGATAAGGATCTTACCGATACGTATGTCCTTGCAAACGTCACAAACGGCCTGCTCCATAGTTTCGCCAGCCCGAAGGATGGAAACTCCACAGATCTTGCGCGACTCCATTCGCTTTCCCTCGTAATGGACACCCTGGGGTGTCTCCACAGTGGTTGTCTTGAATGGAAACAGACTGAGCGCATACTCGATGACTAATCGGATCAGGCGCTTCGAGTAGAAGATAAACTCATCGCGGGACGTATTCCGACAGCGGATAAACGTGTGCAGGCCCTTGATCTGGGGAGTGGGATGCAACAAGTGCAGAGAATGTGGCATGGGTTGGTCCTTGTATGAGTTGGCCAGCGTTTCGCGCAGCTTAAATCCACGCTTAAAAAGGAAATAAACGATAAGATAGGTTCAAAGAATTATTTGTAGGGTTTCTTACCAACTGGAGCTGTGTGTGCACGTGCTGAACGATGAGATGAATGGCCACCTTGTTCTCTCCTCCGCGTGGAACAATAATATCAGCATGGGCCATGGTTGGGGCTATGTAATTAGCATACGATGGCTTCACCATGTTCAGGTATTGCTTAAGAACGCCCCTAAGGTCACGACCGCGTTGTGAGATATCCCTGGAATGCATAATGAATATTAATAATCCAATTATGATCACACTGTATCCAGCAGTAGTTACCTTTTTAACCTTCTAGCCAGACGGATATCAGGATCTGTGTCAACAAAGATCTTCATATCCAGCAGCTTGAGCACCTCAGGACTGTGGAATGTGAGGATGCCCTCAAAGATTATCACATTCGCACCGTACATCGTTTTCGTCTGACTCTCGCGACCATGTGTCACAAAATTGTACACTGGAACCTCGACTTTGCGACCCTCCTTGAGCTTGGTGAGCACATCCAGCAACAGCTCAATGTCAAAGGCATCCGGGTGATCGAAGTTGTATTCATTGATTAGGGCCTGCTCATGCTGCTTTTCATTAAGGATCTACAGAATTGCGGGATTTAAAGGCGAATGAGTGGTGAACTTATGTAAATCATCGATGTGATGCCACCTTGTAGAAACAGTCCATGGATAAGAGTGTCACCCAGGGCACGTCCAGACTCTCAATGATTTTTTCTGCCACTGTGGTCTTGCCAGACGCACTTCCTCCGCAAATTCCTGTGCCGGAAAGAGAACCAATACATTAGGGGTTGCTTTGCTTTGAAAGACTCATACATTTTACCTATGACGAAGGGCTCGACCTGCTGCCCGGCACAATTGTACCACGGCGGACGTCCGGCCGTGTAGATCGTACGATTGTTGGCGCGTATGATGCATTCGGACGGATTCGCGGTGGTGGTCTGATTGCCAATTGACGTGGTTCGCTGTCTCCGACCAGAGCGTTTCAACGGCGACTCCAGCGATGCTTTGGCAGGCACTGTAGTGGGCGAGGCCGGGCAGCAGTTGAGATCCCCGGGCAAGCCATTTCCCAGGTCAGCGTATGGATCCACATAAAGCTGTTCCGTGACATCTGACCGGTCATCGCTGCAAATAGTAAATCAGGCCAAGGATTAGTTAATAATTAGCGGTAGAGATAAGGGCGACGGCGCACCTTTTCTATACTATGATACTCCCACACCAAATAACGATGACGTTGGGTTTATAGCTACATAAGTATTTGGAATTCAGTGATTAGCCACGAGATAACGTTTATTATCATAACTGACCGGCCACTGATTAATTTCACAATAATTTTAAAAATAAACATGGCCACAACACCATGCACTACAGATTTCCCTACGTCTACGTTCGTGTTAGTCAACAGGGAATGAGAGAGCTTAAAGCTGTGCTTTCCCCGAGTTCAAGGATGCAGTATACTCACTGACCTACTCCACTTTAAAGCCCCCGCCACCTCTCTTTGTGCACCCACGCAAACACAGAATTAATCTGCTGCTCAATAGACTCTATAAATAGCAATCTTACTTGAGTCTTTTAATTGAATGTAATAGAAGATAACGTCGTCAATATTAAGGGTTAATTGATTTATGGCTTCCAATGGGTAAAGATAATGTTATGCCCGTTACTTAAGGCGTGTGGCTTAAAATCGAGGTCTGGAGAAAGTATTGCATAAAGTTGCAGTTATTTGAGATGGCGATTTCCCTTTTATAAATAAATAACATGTGAATATAAAAGTGTTTTAGCTTCTTAAATTCAGTTTACTGATAATTTTCTACATTTCATAATGGCGAAATTGGAGACTTTTGGCGCAGGCACATATGAAATTAGGGTGGACCAGTTTCAACAGGTTTTAACACTTAACAAAAGAAATGTAAAGGCAGGCATTTAGTAGGTGTAATCTGTATTCTTTTCGTTCGGATAGTGATGTCTTTTAAATATTGGTATGTTAATATTTGGTCACCCTACTTTGAATGTAGAGCATATACGTACATACTTATGTATGCATGTATAGCATGATTATATTTTGTGTTTCCGCCATGTGTGCTGCAGAATGCTGACGTGACCCCGCCGAGTCGAGACTACGTTCGCGGAATAACCAGAGGAGTTTCCGGCCGTATTTGGCCATCCAATTGATACAGACATAGTTCGTTTTAAATACACACAGATTCAGTCATCCTCATCATGTATTTCGACAGCAGGAGCAGGCAGACAAAGCACAACCTGACGACCCATCTTTGGGATGCGGCGTAGGCGCGTTCGTTGCACTCTCTCCTCACACTCGTTCTCTGCCTGTGTATCATCTGCTCTTTATTTACTGTTCTGCGGAAAACAACAAAAAACAGAGCCAATTCTGGTGACGCCAGAGGCAGATTCCTCAGCATATTTATAGTTTTGCACAGTAACGAGAGCGGGAGGCGTGCCAGGGAGAGAGTAACATTAGCAGCATCTGCCACGTGAGCAGCGCTCTTCGCAACCAACAGGTTATCCAGGCAAAGAAGGAGGAACAAGGACAGCAGGCATGTGCGAGGATTTTGGGAGCATTTCTTTGGCGGCGAAAAAGAGCCGGCTGGCGAAACCGATAGACGTGGCTTGATCGCGCAGCCATGTTTCGAAATTGGAGAAATGGAGCGCACTTGCTGACGCTATCGTCTTTTCATTATTTGTTGTTATTTGCCGCACCGCAGACACGACTCGATAAACAATGTTAACACAAAGACGAAGAGCGTTAATTAAACACTGGAAGCGGAGACAGAGACAGACATACATACTCATACACACATAAATAATGGACAAACAAGCGAAACAGCAAAACAATTAGAATGGCGGTAAATGACAACAGCAACAACAAAAAAAAACACTGCAAACACGCGAACACATACACTCATATTATGCACAAATGGACATGGTTTTCGGTTGAATTTACACTACAAAATGAAGAAAATGCAATGAATTACATGTGACCATTGGTTTTGGCTGCTGCTGCTGTAGCCTTAACCTTTGACTTCAGCTGTGGTTGCTGCTGCTGGTGTAGTTGTTGTTGCTGTTGGTGGGTAACGATGGCTAGTAAGCCGGCAGGCCCCGATGCAAAGGCCGGAGACGCTTGCTTCCCCTTTTGGACATCGCTATTGTTGTTGTGGCTCGACTTGCTGCACAAAAACGTGATGCTGCTCATTTTAGAATCGTCTGCCAGGAGCGAGTGGATTCAGTGCGCGTGGCGTGGGTGTGAGAACAGAACGTCGCAGTCTCGCGCGGTGCCGGGATGCCAAAATGGGTCAGTCACTCACTTTCACATACACTCGCACTCGACACGCTCACAAGAATCGCTTGCACATGGGCCGGCGCGGATCACATGTGATTTAGAGCTTTTATTTCCTTCGCAGCGCCGCGTATCTTTTTGCCTTTTGCGTTGCGGCCAATATTTATTCGATAACTAATAAAATGCGAGCAGCGAAGGCGGCGGTGGAGGCGTGGCGGTGTGAGGTGGGCAGCGTTTGGGCAACGATTGAATGACAAAAAAGTGCGAAGGCAGGAAAGGTTAAAAAGCTGCGCTGCTTGTGCCGCTGCCTCTGCCGCCGTCTCGCTGTTGTTGTTGTTGCCGCTGCGTTTGTAATAAAGGTGCGCTCGTGAGGCGTGTTTATCCGTGTCACGATTTGTACCTGGTTCACTCCGTTACTCAAAATAATAACATCACGTGAATTTATCTTGATTTAATATAAGGTCCTTTTTTCCTCACATTGTATTCGGATAAATTTAGAAATTATGTATATATGTAATTGGAAATTAAATTTGTACTTTTTTAAATTATGTTAGTTAGGATAAAATACTGCTCACGCGCGCATCTCTAGTTTGTAACTGTTCTCGCAAGGGGTCTGCCTCGCTCGCACTCTCTCTATCGGCCTCTCCACATCTCCCTTTCTCTTTTCAGCTGCAACCGGCAAGTATTGAATTTGAATTTAACATACGTTATATTTGACGGTATGTGTGCACGTAAACCTATGCCGTTTTCCTAGCATTTATTTTTATTGCGTGTTTAGGCCCCACGATGGACGATGATGAATGGCTTGGATTGGAGCACATGCCTCGGTATGCGTGCCTGTGCGCGTGTATTGGCGTGTGTATCACACTCTAATGACTTCTGTTGGATTTTCGCACCTTACGCAGCATTAAAATGTCGTTCGTTACCTGTCGGAGCTCGCGGAACTCGATGGGTTGTAGAATTTGATTTGCTTCGTCTGGGTCACAGACATGTTGTACAGAGAATCGTGGTGCAGCCAGTTGCAGCGATTAGAAAAACACGCGGTGATTAACTTCGTCGTGCCTCTCCCTCTCCCAGCAAGTGACTGAAATCTGTTCGTCGTCGAAAAACGTGCGCGGCCGATGCCCGGATCGTACATATATACATGTGGTTTGCGAGTTTCCAGCCCTTGGCAATGGGCGTGAGGGCTGGCTGGGGGAGGGCAATCGGGCTGGTGGGTCATATATCTATATTCTATCTCCATTTGACGCTGTCATGGCATTTATTCGAGTGTTTTTTGGGGCCAAATTAATTAGATTCTCCGCTCAGCTGTTTAATTGGAAAATGTATGGCCGAGCTGTTTTCATTAATAATGCCAAAACGCCTTGAACAAGTGTCTAAACGAATAAAGTTCTTAAGACTGGTCACACTTCGAGGGTATAAAACAGCGGGTATAATTTAAATTTCACGCCGCTCGGCGTTGCAGGCTTTGAAGTGAGATAATTTTATATTTAGGCCTCGGCAATATTTTATGGTTTTGTTTTTGACAAGTAGGCTGCTTAAAATGGTCGGAAAAATAAGAAAATGAAGAAAAACTCAAATCTTGAGGCCCCTCGGTCTGGCAGCACTGTCGCGCTTGCATTTGCTGGCCATTCTTCCGAGGCGTTGTGGCCTAATCAACAAAAATAGCGGCGGGCACACCGACGCATATATCTTTTTGTTTTCTTTTTGTATTAAATAATTTAATAATAATGTCATAGATGCATTGATGCCGTGCGAGGATCAGCAGCAGGATGGCATACATCAACATCGCCGAGTGGACGCCCGACCAGGTGACGGACTGGATAAGGGGTAAGTGTGGCGAGGGCCGAGCGAGCGAGGTCAAGGAAAACGGACACACGAAAAAATGCATCTGTGGTGGCCCTGGCAGAGCCACAACCCAAAAAGCAGCGGCAACAACAAAGGGCAGCGCTGCAGCAACAGGAAATTCCGCTTTTCCCTGCAGATTTTCGCTTTTACCGCTCTTTACATAGTGTTTATTTTTGATTTTCCCCGCCTTTGCTACAGGTCTGGATGAGTCCATGAAGGGGTATTTGTACGAGTTCGCTAAGCAGGAGATCGGCGGACGGGCGCTGCTCAACATACGGCCATACGAGCTGGAGAATCTGGGAATGCTGCGTATCGGGCACCAGGAAATCGTGCTGGAGGCGGTAGAGAATTTGCGGAATTTTGTGAGTGATTTGAATTCGATTCCTTGTGCTCCTGGGAGAATTGTATATAATCCTAATATTATCTTGCAGCACTATCACCTGAAGAACGACAATCTGCAGTTCATGGCGTTGCATGTGGCGACGGCCGCACGGAATTTGCACCGCGAGCTGGCCAAAAACCATGCGGCTAGCACCAAGATCGATACCCGGATACTGCACGACATTACGCGGACGATAGCCACGCTGAAGCCGCTGGTGGGCAGTTTGGAACGGACGCCCTTCCGCAAGCAGGAGATGTACCGCGAGTATTGTGGAAACGTGCTGAAGAGCGGCTTAGAGCTCGCAACCATAGCACACCGCGATCGGTTCGCAGTACAGCCGGTGCACGACATCCGGCACTTAGCAGAGAAACTAGAGAAACTAGCGAATTTCATCATTCAGGACATATCCGATCCGATGGTGCTGCAGCCTGCCTCTCTTAACCTCGTAACGCTGAAGAAGCGTGAATCTGAGTTAGGCTTTAACATAGAGTCCAGTTACAATGGCATCCATCGCGTCACCGACATCAAAAGCAACTCCCCGGCCCACAACTCGGGGAAGATCGAGGATGGCGATGAGATCGTTCAGATCAACTACCAGACTGTAGTCGGATGGCAGCATCGCACCGTGCTGGAGCACCTGCGCGAGGCTCTGCCCGATGTGGTGCTTACGGTAAAGAAACGCCCCAAGCACACCAAAATGTTTGGCCAGATCTATATGCAACCGTACCGGCTGCCCAGCAAGAAGCGCAACATGGCAAGTCGCTGGGCGGAGCAGATGCCGAGCCCCAGGGCCGCATTCCTCACCCTGGACACGGATCGAGCGTCAACAGGAGTTGGAGTTGGAATCGTAAACTCAGTGCCAGACTCAGGACTTGGAAAGTCGCTGAGCAGTGAGAAGAGCGGGGAGGATCTGGTTAAGGTCAACCCGACGGCTGTTTCCTCCGCCTCCGATTCGGACTCCAGCTGCAGTGACATTCCCACGCCCACGGATCTCAAGTCCGCGGCGCGGGAGATTCGATTGTATTATCCCAAGCCCAGAGCCCTGCTACAGCGGCGCAACACCATCTGCGGGTATGAATTTCTCAGCCTGAAGCACTCGGATTTGGTCGTGCCGTCGTGGCACGAACGAAAGCCAGGCGTTGGCTCCTCGGCGGCCTGTGATCCGGTTCACCGAGCATCAGGGACAAATCGATATCATTCGGATATGGCCTGGATATAGCGCCGAGGCCCACAACATGCATTGGGATCGCGGGCGACAAACGAATGTTTCACGAGGTGAGGAAGCTGAAGCAGCTGACGGAGGAGTCGCAGCGCGAGTTCCTCGAGGAGCGTTACAAGCCGGGCGTTAGCAAGGTAGTACGCTTCGATGCCAACATGAAGGTAGAGGATTATGTCGTGAAGAACGAGATGTTTACATGCAATGTCGAGAACACCATATTGGAGACCTTTGAGCCGATACCATTTGCGGATGAGGGCGACGAGGACGCATTGGAGACGCTGCGCAACTGCAAGACGGAGAATGCCGAGGACCTACTGGACGCAATCAATCAGGCAACAAGGGGTCAGGAGCTGCCCCTAGCAGAGGCCATTAACACGCCCCTCCTGCTACAGCAGCAGAGATGCCGAGGGCGTTTGGACAAGAGCCATAGTACTCCTGCTTACGATAATTCGGGTGAGGAATCGGACACACCGCCAGCTATTGAGCCGCGCAAAGAGTTTCTGCTCGTCACGCCGCCTGCACCGCCTCCGCGACCGCGCAAGCAGCGAGAGATGACGCCGCCAGTAGTGCCGCCTCCGCCGCCAAAGCCTGCCAGCATGCAGCCAGCTAGCAGTGTCACCAGCATCTCCATTCCAGTGCCATTGCATGTGCCAGTAGCGACAACACCCGTAGAATCTCCCTCAGAGATCAGCGAGCTACATACACCAAGCAAGTCTCGAACCTTGACCCTCAAGAAGAAGCACAGTCTGATGGCCAAGCGGCGGAACACGAACCTGAAGCTTCTCGGCACCGGCGACATACAGGGACACCTATACAGGCGCAAGAAGAACCATCGCGGCGTCACCTACTGGGCGAGGATTTATTTTGTAATGCTGGACACGATCTTGTACGGATTCCGCAGCAAGGAGAGCACTAGCGCGAGTCTTGTGATCTTTTTGCCCGGCTTCACGGTTTCTCTGGCCAAGGAGGTGCATTCGAAGCCACATGCCTTCAAGGTATACCACACGGCCAAAATGTTTTACTTTGCGGCAGAGTCCCTGAACGCCCTCAATCAATGGGTGGACTTTCTACGCCAGGCCTCGCTCAAGGTGCCGCAAGGATCGGCGTCGCGCGAAGCGGGAGATGCCAAGGACCTGTATTCGGAGAACGACAGCTCGGGTGAGGAGTGTGACGCCCTGGTGGCAAATAACCTGAGCACACCTTCGCCGCAGGGCAATAAGGAAGCGATGTCTGTCACATCCCTGGTGCTACCCGGAGGAACACCGCCGTCGGCCGGACCCACAAAGCATGAACGTGGATATCTGGACTCGTTTCGGAAGTTCACCATGGGCAAGATGGGCAAGACCAGTGCGGCAAAGCCATCGAGCGATATCCCAGTGCCAACGGAGCAGTATCGCAGCTACAGGAAGGTACCTGGCGGCAGTTTTGGCATTCAGATAGGGGCCAATACACCGGGCTACCATGACCCGGCCATGCCGCCCACCAGATCGCACCCATGGTGACTGCACCCAAGCTGTCGCGCAGCTCCAGCCGAAGCTCGGTGGTCAGCGGCACAGAATCGGCCATTTCGGTATCAGCCTCGATTCTGGGACCGCCTATATCGCCAGCGCCGACTCCAACCGCAGCCACGCCCACTTCGCTGCAACACCAGAGCTCCGAGGAAAGCCCGAGTCAGAGCCAGAGTCAAAGTCCCAGCAGCAATCGAGTTTGAAGAAGGTTCCATACAACTTCCTGCACGCCTCGAATCCGAATTTGGTAGAGTTCGACTTTAACACTTCAAAAACCCTGCTGCCGAAGATGAGCGTGGGTACTACGTTGGACCATGGCCACAATATTCAGGGATTTGTGACCCTCAAGGCCCTGATGCTGCGAAAGCAGGAGGAGGAGGCCCAGGAGATGTACAATAACCGCGTTCATCTCGGCGTCGAAAAGCACAAACATGCGCGCACAGAGTCGACGGCGAGTCAGCAAAGTGCCATGAGCAGCAGCAGTGTGGCGAAGCCCTTGGAGAAGTTGCCCAAAATCCAGAGCGTAAGCTTGCCCAAAACGCCGGACTACGAGATTAGCTTCAAGCCAGATGACGAGAGTATTAAGCGAACTAGAGGAAGGGAGGGCCAGAAGCTGCGAGACTTTGGTTACGAGCTAATATGCGGCGATGAGCCGAGTTCCAGTTCAAGCACCAGACAGGAGCACCATCATCACCACCAGCATCATCATCAGCAACACAGCAACAGCCGCTCCAACCGCAGCCGCAGCAGCAGAGTAGCAAGACCAAGCACTTCCTGCGTTCCCAGCAGCTACAGTTTCCAGCTTTCTGCTCAAAACCAGCAGCAGCGGCAGCTCCGGATCCACCTCAGAGTCGAAGAAAAGCAAGAGTAAGTCGAGCAGCGATCGGCGCTTTCCGTTCTCCAAGCATTCGACCGGATCTACAGGCAGTTCATCGGGTCATGCGATGACCATGACGCTGCCATTGAACAAGAAGTCAAAATCGAACCATGCCCTGGATGGAGCAGGCGGCAATGGATTGCCATTGAGTGGCGGTGTCGGCGGAAGCAGTATCAAGAAGAGCCAGACGTACAATCAGGACTTGCGCGTGGGCACCAAGTACGATGCACATCGAAAGAATTCGGCCCCGATACCCATCTTCTCAAAGCTCTCCATTTCGGGCGGCACGCCGGCCAAGCCTTCGAAAGAGAATCGCTTATTCGGCTCACCGCTGCTGCATCGCACCCTCTTTGGCCACCACCATCATCAACAGCAGCAGCAGTTGCCGCCAATGACTCCGCCCGCAGTGCGGATCCCGATTGTGATCAGGAGATATTCTCGCAGATTACCTTGCCCACGCACAATCAGGCGGGCTATCGGAGCTACAGGGGACCTGGCATTATGACCACGTCCACAACCAATTTGTGCTCTTCAGAGGCGCTGCAGCCACCGTTGCCGCCAGCACCGCCGCCACCGATACAGGCCAACAGGCAACGGGGCGAAGAGGAGCAGCAGTTGCAGCCAGATCCTGAAGCTGTTACGGCATCAGAGGGTGCAGCCACACCGAAGGTCTCGAACTCAGGTTCTGTGGACTCAAAAGCGGCCACACCAGATTATCCGAACATGGAGTGTCCGCCAGTGTTTGAGCCGGAAATTTACTCGTTAACGGATACCAGCTTATCCCGGTTGATGATGCGGACGGCCAGTAACAGTGGTGGTTCTGGCTCCACCAGCGCCCACAACGCCAATAATAACAGCAGCAGCAACACCAATAACAACACCAACAGCAGTCCCAGTGGCAGCGAACAACCACAACAACACCAACACCATCAGACGTCGTAGGACTAGGAGTGTGATGGCAAAACCAATTGTGAATGCTCGGGGTATTAGGCCCCCGCTTACTTATGTATTTATATACACGCATATATAGAGAGAGATATATATACTCGTACGATATAGGTATACACGCAACCTGTTCATTTCTTCGTCTTCCCTGTGTCCACCAGCCAGTACCTACTACCTATACCTGCGATCATCCTGTCGAGTCCCTCTCACATACAATTTAGATGTAAATGTTTTTAATCTGCCTTATTTGCATTGCTTCGGTTCTAGGTACAAACACACAAACACAATAAGTGTAGCAAAGAGATATATATTAACTTTAGGAGAAGTCTGTGCATCGAAGAAGAAAAGCGTAGTTCTTTATAATTTGCCTTTGTACGGGGATTAACCAAGTTAATCCGAGCTGTTTGATTTGCTCAACAGTTTGTGTCTAAATTACATGTATTATATTATACGATTATGCGAAACGGGATATTATTGTAGAGCGGTTTCCAGCGACGCCAAGGGGATCCACAAAATGTTGTAGCAAATAAACGAAATAAATCTTAAATATACACATACACGAATTATACATGCATACGAATAAAGTCAACTGTATATAATAACAAAAAACCAAGCTACCATTGGAAAATTTCTAGTTTCTACACGTTTGCAGTTTTCCAATTATTAATATTTTATTCATTCATATTAATCGAAATATATATGACTTTTATATTTCAGATCGTATGCCCTTGCAGAAATATTCATATTTTTAAATTGAAAAAAAGTTTAAAATATTAAGCTTAGGTGAAAATGCATTAATTTCATTGCGGAAATGATTTGTGGCTAGTTTTTATTATTTAACAACTTTGCATATTAAGTTAATAATTAATTTGAATTTTTGACAATTTTACGACCAATTTTAAATTTTGAATTTTTTCCTAGCTAGCAAGTCAGAACGACTCGGCTGTTGATGCTGATCAAGTATAGGGTCGGAAATGACTTCTTCACCAAATATCACCAAGATATGTCCCTTATAGATCAAAATTATATATATATATATTTTGTTTTAAATCATAGTTTTTTAAATATAAAAAGGCCAAAAATCAATTAATTTTCAAGAGAAAATGTTTTCTATGATAGTTTATATCGGGTAAATAAATCTGCATACTCAGCTTAAAATTTGTAAAATGAATTTTTTTTTAATTTTTGAAAATTTAACGATCTAACCATAAAAAAAAAAATTAAGAAGCTGTCATGCTATATCGATTCGTCTGGTAATGCTGATCAAGAATATATATGACTCCTTCACTGCATAGCAAAGCTTTTGACTAAAATTATAATACCCTGATAGTAACAGTTATGTAAAGGTAAGTCTTCCATTCAAAACAAAAACCTTTTCCCTTCCCTTTTTAGTTACGTTCTTTTAAAACTGGAGAATTCTCGGAACACTAGTTGTGGCATGCAAAATATTGATTTAGAATCCATTTATTCACATATTACGTTCAAAGTTAACCCATCAAAAGTCGCAAAATTACGCCAATTTGGCAATGTGCTCCTCCACCTCCTGCCTGGTGAACATGTAGAACTCTTTCTCCTTTGTCATGGTCATCACCTCCACATTGGTCGAGTTTAGCTTCTCCTCCATCACCTGCTTCAGGGTGTTGAGTGACAGCTCGATGGCATCGTTGAGGCTCATCTCAGTGGTGAAGTTATCCTGCAGATTCTGCTGGGCACCTTCACTGCCCGAACCGATAGCCTTAGCGCTGTGACGAACAAATGTGCCTGAGGGATCCATGTGCCACAGTTGCGGTTTGCCGGCCTCAATACCGGCGAACAAAATGGCCACTCCGAAAGGACGGCTCATGGCGGCGGCTCCATCGCTATCGCCACTGTCACCAAACTGAATGGCCAGCGTGGAGACGGCCTGGGCGCACGACTCGATAGACATGCGCTCGTTGTAGACAAACCAGTGGTTCTGGCACTCGACGCGAGCGCGCTCGATTAAGGTCCGGGCATCGGCCATCAGTCCGGAGGTAGCGCAACCAATGTGCTTGTCCACTTCTACAATCTTCTCTACAGTGCTGGATACCATCAGGGGCGATGTGATGCGCTTCTCCACGGCCAGAACGACGCCTTGAGGATGTATTTCATTGTTTCTGTTTTTATTGGATCGTATCGCAATCACTCACCTTCTGGAGTGCAGATTCCAATGGCTGTCGAGCCTAACTTGATAGCCTCGATGGCATATTCAACCTGGAAGAGGCGGCCCTCCGGCGAGAACGTGTTCACGCCTCTGTCGTACTCGGAGCGGGTTAGAAACATGTTGCGCTGAAATTTCGACTCCTGTATTACACGTTCGTCTGAATATAAAACAAAATATGGCGCTTACTTCTCTTTTATTTCTTTACAAAGATCGAAAAACAAATGCCGGAATGACTTGACGCTTGCGAATTAGAGCTGCGAACACAGCGATGGCAATATCGATAACGGCACTATCGATTGTTTGTGCTTGTACTATCGATGTACTACGGTGATAATTTTTTAAAATTATATGAATTTAAATTAATTGTTTTTAAATGAGAATATTTTTAAGCGCTGATCAATAAGATAGTGGAAATTTATTTATTTATATAAAGCTAGCAAAACCTTTGACTGTAAACAAAATGATTTTTTTTAAATAAAACATAAAACAAAATATTTAAAAATTTGTAGTAAGAATTTTTGTTGTTGCTCTGGGTAAAAACAAGGTTTCATTCACTAAAATAAATTAAATAATTAAAGTAGCAACGCCTAAAATTGAATTAAATTTATTTGCGGAACTTTCTCTTTGAGCTTAAAACTAAATTAGAGCAATCGAATGCGACAATTACTAGCACCGCACTGGCAGTAAAGCACTTTGCCCGGCACCACGCCCACCTCGTAGTTGTAGTTCCAGGTCAGCTCGGTGCCGGAGCGGATGTGCGAGGCAGAGAAGAATGCCACCCATGGGAAGCGCAGGTCGTGGGTGTCCACAAAGACGTTTTGTACGAAAAGATTCGGGTTGCACGAATGCTGGAAGAGAAGAAAATTTAGTTTAATATGGCTCCCTAGGATAAAGATTAAGATCACTCACGTTAAAGTAACGCCCAAGGTTGCCGGTAGTCTTGGCATCCATGATATAGGGGGCCTCGTCTTTGCCGAACAGTCGCCGCACCGAGTTCTCACGCACCGTCTCATCCAGATCGGCATTAGGATTGAAATTGATTACCGCCCGCTCCTGAGAGTCCAACTCGCTGTTACTTCTGGAGGTGCGTTTGTTCTTGCGCTGATAGTGGTAGTTGGGCCGAAAATCGTCATCATTATCCTCGGGGTCCGGACCGTATGTCTCATCGTCCGGTTCCGGTTCCGACGGCGGCTCCACCTCCGACTCGTAGCCCTCCTTGAGCTGCTCTGCCACCTCAATGTAGTCGAGATCTGCAAAGTACTCATCGCCAGCATCCTGACCACCCTCGTTGGCCATAGTTTCCGTAAGTAGGTGGCCTGCATAGATGCAAATAAAGGCTCCCTTGGGAATGTCGTTCACGCAGCGCAGGCCCCAGCCGCGATTTGAGGTCTTGAACACCTGCAGTTTCATCTCGAGCGAGAACTGCACCACGCGGTTCAGGCAGTTCTTCCGGCACTTGCAACGTGAGTTGCACTCGTAGATACCGGTCGGCACATGCTCGTGCAGTCGCTTGTACTGATAGCCGATCTCCTCAATGGGCTTCTTCGGGTTGCAGTACTTTACGCCGGCCACGGTTAGTTGCCAGCAGGCGCACTTCGACTTGTCCTGTAAGGGAGACAGTAAGCTTAATCCTGTATGTTGAAATAAACTGCAATCTTACCGAGCAATCATCGTCGCAGTCGCAGCCTACGAGGAACTCCTCGTCCAGATTCAAATTAACCCCCTCGGTTGGTATTCGCTGCTTGGCATATGTACAGGGTGGCGGCAGCGAGTTATCGTAATAGTTTACCAGCGGGATGGCCATCTTCTCCTGCCCCTTGGAAATGTCTGCCTCCTTGACGATCGACGGATCTATTGAATACTCCGCCAGGCATCGCAGATCGGGCGTAAAGTCAAAATTGTCCACATTCAGTACATTCTCGGTGGTCCGCAGATACATGTGCACTTCGGCCAGGTTGCGCAGGCTCTTGCCGCAGGGACCTCGGTAGACGACGTTCTTCTTGGTCTTCTGGCGAAATATTAAACGTTCCCAGCCGGAGAGAAGTGGCTTCGCCAACGGACTGTAGCTGTCCAGGCGGTGAACGATTTTAAACAGACAGTTGGGACTACAGCTGTGCTGCTTGAATATCTTTGGCGGCAGATTCCGTTTGGCTGTGAAATAGACGACATGACCCTTGGGCCTGTTCTCATCGTCCACATAAATGGTCGAATTGTTGAGATGCTTAACAGTGTTGCCAATTCCGGTGCGGCTTCCGGCGGCAGCAGCGTTTGCGGCGGAGGAAGTTGCAGGTGCGGAGGCGGCCGAGGGCGAGGATGAGGCCGCGGACACATTCTGTGACGAAGCACTACTCTTGCGGGCAATAGCGCGCATCTGCCGATTAACCTGCTGGCTGCTTGACTCCATCTCCTTGGTGTAGCGAATAAAGGGCTCCGTTCGCTAGAATACAATTTTATATTAAAACGACCACTTAGATGCTCACGACAAATTCTTACTCTGGGCACACGCATCTGCTGGGCATTGGCACTGTTTAGGGCATTCTGAGTTTCCTTAAACACCGGGCCCAATCGCAGGGAACCCCTATAGATCCATTCGGTATGATTCTTATCGCCCTCGAACTGCATCAGGACCAGGCTGCAGTCGATGTCGATGACGCGGGCATATAGCCAAGTACCATTGGACTCGGTGTTCATGCTCTGGCCCCGGGTGCACTGTACCATAGGCCGGTCCACCGAGTACTTCTCTACGTACTTTTGGATGAAATCGCGTGAAGCGGGATGCACATCCTCCCACACCTTCTCAGAGGCCTGACAAACCAACCGGACATCCCGATGGGGCACATACTGTGTGTAGCCGTCGTCGTAAAAAATTAGGTAGCGGAACCGATTGGCCTGCTTCAGTGGTTCTGCGATGATGCCAGGATAGAAAGCATTCTGCACGGTGCCTGTATCCTTGCCCCGTGATAATGTGGTGCCGTCGAAGTAAGCAATCACTCGTGTGCCTGCAAATGGGATGTTATATAAATTAATCAGGTGATTGCGCATTCTTAGAGTTCTTACCAATGGTCAAGCGTACTGGCGGTGGCTCAAAGTAAGCAATGTGTTTGGCCGTCACCGTCTTGATCATCTGATAAGGCGTATTTAGATACTTGATCTTGTAGCTCTTCATGGTGTTGCCATTTATGGCGGTGCTTTCGGTGAACTCGATCACTTTGATGGACACCCAGCTGGCAATGGCCTTGTTCTTCACTGCATAATACGTCTCGTTCAATTCAATTGGTGGACGAACGATCTCGCCAGCCGGCGGCACATTCTGCTGCTTTAAACAATCGATTTATTCACCAGAACGAAGGTCCATATTCCATCCTACTTACCATGTAGTCACTCATGCTGTGCTGGATGTCCAGGGGTGGCATATTCTTATGCACCACTGCGCACGAGCTGTACAAGGCGGCATGCATCTGGTCCGCCACGCTCTGAACACTTTCGAGTTCCGCATCTACGATCTCAAACTGGCTCTCTAAGCGATCCGCCTTGGCCTTCAGTATGGTCTTTGACCAGGCGAGTTGATTTTGTAACTCGACTTTACTCAGCACGCTCTTGATGGCATCTTCCAGTTCATTTTCGATTAGGTTCAGGTCGTTTTTCGAAAATTCCGTTTGCTCTAAAGGAAAATAAAGTTAGTTAACTGGGAAAATGGGTCATTGAAGTCGTCTTCAATGCTAGTTACCTGGCCGTTTTTCCTCCTCTTCCTCATCACTGCTGTCTAGGGCCACGAAATCTGCATGGTCCTGTCGGAAATCCTTTAACAACAGCGGCTGCTTGGCCACTAAGTGACCCGCGAATTCCTGAAATTAATAATGGACTCAATAATTAAGTTCCCTAAACCCATATGCCATTGCTTCACCTCGTACACGTCCATTGCCGTGTCGTAGCACTCCATACATACGAACTGCTGTCTATAGCCTTTTTGGGTCACATTATAAAAGTTTAAAAGGGCCATGCTGGCCAGCACATACTGTTTGTGCAGCTTTTCGCAGTTGTAGTTAATGCAGTCTTTTCCATAAAAAATGTCTCCATCCGCAGGCAATGGGTCATCGTTCTCGGGTGCCATTTGCTCCGTTGCCTTTTCCAGCTGTACTTTTAGGGCAACCTCGTTTCCATCTGCGTCGATAGGGGCTCCTTCAGTTTCCATGGGCTCTTCTATTTTGTTTGCCGATAGTTCAAATTTGTCTCCTTCTGGGAAGTCATTACTTTCTTTAACGGGCTCCTTTGAGATCGTTTTCATCTCCGATTTGTCTGCTTGAATTTTAAATGTCTCTTCTTGATCGACTTCCATGATCTCGTCTTCCGCTTTACTTTCGCGGGACTCTGAAGCAGTTTGTTGCTCCTGATCACCCGGTGCCTTTGTTCCTTCGCCTTCTTTGCCAGGCGAGGCCTCGGGAGTGGGACTGCTGATAAGTTCGATGCTACTGTCCGCTTCTTCCTCGACCTTCTTGCTCTCGGGGTCAGCGGGGGCTTTGGGATCTTGGGGAGCGTCCACAACTGCTGCACCATCGACACCGTCTGGTTTGGCCTGATCCTTTGCAACTTCGTTGGGCGAGGGGGACTTAGCTGGACTATCGATAAGCTCCACGCTACTGTCGGAATCCTCAGCTGGATCGGATTTTGGCGCTGCTTTATCCAGTCGAGCGGGTACTGGACTACTGGCCAAATCACTGCTGATAACTACTTCGTCGCCTGTTTTTTCCTTTCCCTCACGCTGCGGATCTTCTGGCTTATCACAAACTTCCTTGGGATCTTTAGTGGGCACTTTCCTTGGCTTTTTAGTAGGCTCTCTTAGCTCTTCACTTGGCTCGTTGTTTGTCTCCTCGCGTTGGAGTGTCTTTGGGTTCTCACTGGGCAATTCACTTTCACTGGGATCGATGTCTTTGAGGGTTAGATCCTCCATTTCGACTTCTTCCTTTTCCATTGGCACAGAGGACTCGATACTTTTTTTTTCTGCCGGCGCCTCAAGCGACCCGGCATATTGCTCCTCTGCATCAGGCGGTGTAGGATCTTCCTTTGGCGCAGTTTCAGTGTCCTCGACACAATCCATGGCTGGAGTTTCCGTGGCAATGTTACAATATTATTTTAATCGTTATTATTTACATAAAATGATTCTATTAAAATTATTATCCCACGGAAAAGAGTTCGCTTGATTTTAGTATTGGGTAAGTTTCGCAAAGATTTACCAACACTTGCTCAGTGGCAGTGTTGCAGAGCGCTTATTTCAAAAAGTAAATTTAAACGGAATTTTAAGTTGCAGGACGTTTAATCTTTATTTCGGGTAACCATTTTAGAGAGTGTTTAGGCCTCAACAACCTTTGGGTGGTAGCCGGTCTCATCGGCGTGGTAGACCACCTTAATGGTCTTGCCGTTTGGTGCCACGTACTCGTACTCTCCAGAAACTACCCAGTTGTCGTGCTCCTTGAGAACTCCGGACTGCACGGCCTTGATGTGATTGGACAGCTCGTAACCGTAGTTGAAGTCCAGCACGTTCACCTCGGAATCGCTCTTCAGGACATCGGCTTCCTCGTTGGCAAAGGCCACGGCCAAAAGGCAGGCGAGAACAATCTGAGGGAATACAATGTATCTGAGAAAAGTTTCAATTGGGCAATATAGTTCGTCCAAACTTACCATGAACTTCATGGTTAGAAAGGAGGGTGTGTGTCTGCTGATAGATGACAAAACAAATCTGATTTCTAACATTCGAAAATTGTGCTTATATAGTAGTTATCTCTCTTGACATTTTGCCGGCGGCCGGTATGTCTCTTCACATAAATTTTCTTCAAACTGGATCGAAACGAACGCTTGTATTAATTAAGACAAAAGACATTGATGCAGTCATTCTGCAGGCATTAATTATCGCCCATGGAACTCATCTATGGTAATCTGTGCGGAATATTCCCGTTTTGCCGGCCGTTCATCAATTGTCAGTGGCTGATCAGTTTGCCGGTGGATTCTTGATAAGCGCCAACCGGTACTGGCACTGCATAACGCATAACGCAAATTAATTGCTATTTATTCGTTGTTATCGCACATTTGCATAATTCGCAGATAACTCCAATATCTGTCCGCTTTGGCTCCTACAGCTGCAACCGGTTTCAGCTAAGCTGAGCCCCAAAAATATTGCAAATTTTGATTGGATGACCTCGGAAGAGAAAATTTCGAATTTATTGGCGGGTAATGGACAGTGATGGGAAAGATTTCGTTCGCAGGGCGTTTTTCTACACTGCGCTTATCTGTGGTTTGTTCGCAACACTAATAAACTAAGAAGTCACACGTGCTGGGGAAGAAATCGAGGAATCCCAAGGAACGACATAAATAAAACGATGGCCAGCGATTCTGGCAGTGACTACGAGGTGGAAGCCTTCATCAAGCCGAAGCGAGTTCGAAAGACTGTCAACGATGACAGCGCGGATCTGCTGGGCAATTTCGATGACCAGAAACGCAAGGAGATTTTCGAGGGCACATATGTGGACAAGGAGGACGGCCGGAATCCCAGCGACCCAGACGATAGCGAGGAGGATCGTGCCGCTTCTGATGGAGAGGCTGCCGATGATGAAGGAACTCTGGCCAATGGCAGCGCAGCTTCTGGATCTGAAGTGGAATCAGAGGAAGCCGCTGAAGATGGACACATAACCAGTGATCAGTTGACCTCCCTGCTGCGAGGAGCTTCTAAGACAAACAGACACGTCCTGTACGTGACGAATCTGAACTTCGAGACCACAAAAGATGACCTGGAGCTGCACTTTTCGGCGGCGGGCACAGTTAAATCTATTCGCATCCCAAAAAAGCGCCGTGGGGGTTTCGCTTTCGTGGAGATGGCCGACCTGCCCAGTTTTCAAAAAGGCTTCCAGCTGCACAACACAGAGCTACAAGGCCGCAAGATCAAGGTGCAGATCTCCGAGGCGGGAAAAAAGAAGTCTGCCAACAAGAAGAATATCATCAAGCAGAAGAATCGCAAGCTAGCCGAGATGCGCAACGAGCAAAAGACATTCACCAAGAGCGGCAAGTTTTACGACAAGGACCTGAAGAAGGAGAAGGCCAAGGAGTTGCTGGCACGCAAGAGGTGGCGCAAGAAGCCTGCACCCAGGCCCAACTAAGTAGTTTAAAAAGTCCTTATACTTTAAAATTTATATGTAAAATAACCTATTATTATTCAACACAAATAACAATTAGTTATTACTGCCAGCGAACTATGTAAAAGTTTCGCTTTCCCACACGCAGCAGTGAGACTCCGTTCCGGAGGATGTGTATTCCGGTGGTCAGCACCTCTGCGATGTTCTGTACTCGTTTTTGGTTTACGTAGAAACCACCAGCATTTATAATACGAACGGCATCAGCTGTGGAGGACATACAAGGCTATAGATAATTCTTTTTGAATATGGTAACTCACTTTCAGTGGGAAAGCACTTGGCCTTCATGGCCAACTGCAGGATGGACATCCCAGGCTCAGTCAGCAGCTCCACCATGGTGGCTCCCTGGAAGGTCTGCTTGATCTCGGCGATGTTTAGTTCCGCTAATCCCTCGACGTTGCCCTTGTATAGAGCATTGGTTACTCGCTCCGCTTGCTTTAATCCATTTTCTGTGAATCAAAAATTCGATTAGAGATAAAGGTAATACACAAAGGTGGCATGTTCCTACCTCCATGCACCAGCAGAGTAACATCCTCCGCCAGGAGTGCCTGCGCTTTCCGCTTCTCCGGCTCCCTTGTGTGCTCCCGCATCAGCTGCTTAACTTCCGGCAGTGGAATGAAGGTGAACAGTTTGAGCAGCTTCTCCACCTCGGAGTCCGGCATACGCAGGAAGAACTGATACAGAGCAAAGGCAGATGTCTTATCACCATCCAGCCACACTGCATTTCCTGCCGATTTGCCAAACTTGTCGCCCTCTTCAGTGGTCACCAGGGGTAGTGTCAAGCCGAAGCCTCGGCCTTACGCTCCACCCGGCTGATCAGCTCGTGTCCCGTCATCAGGTTGCCCGTCTGGTCAGAGCCTCCCATTTGGAAGCAGCAGTTGTGGCGACGCAGGAGGTGGAGCCAATCGTAAGCTTGGAATATCTGGTAGGTGAACTCTGTGAAACTCATCCCGTCCTCCGACTCCAAACGCGACTGCACGGAGGACCGGGAGAGCATGGAACCCATGCGAAAATGTCGACCCATGTTGGCCACGAAGTCGACGAGATGCAGGTCGGCATACCAATCAGCATTGTTGACGATCCTACGGTGGAATTGGTTTGTAATTTTGTACACCTTTTTACACTTTAACGACATACTCACGTCAGTGGCGGCAAAGGTGATTTGTTCTTACTCGTGTCCCATAGGAACTTCTCGTGGTTGTCGAAAACCTGTACCAACTGCCGCTCAATGGCCTTCAAATTGGTATCGATCACAGACTCACCCAGCTGGTTGCGCTCCGTCTTCCTCCCACTGGGATCTCCGATCAAACCTGTGGCACCTCCTACCAATGCAATAGGTCTGTGGCCAGCTCTCTGGCAGTGGATGAGGCCCATGATCACCAGCAGATTTCCCACGTGCAGGCTGTCGGCGGTGGGATCGAACCCGGCGTAAATGCTCTGCTGGCCGCTGGTGAGGAGCTGCTTTATCTTGGGCCTATAGAGGGAATCGTTTTCATAAATAAAGGAAGTGCTTTATGCCGGCTATAACTTACCCAGCAGTGTCGGGGAAAATGCCCTGGAAGAATCCCCTGTCCGTAAGCTCTAGGAGGTTCTTCTGGGCCAGGTAACGTCGACTGAAACGGATACCATCCTGGAGTGGCTTCAGGACACTCCACCGCAGAGGCAACATTACGCAAAGATAGGAAGTGCGGAGTTGAACAGCTGTTCAGCCAGCTGTTCCCTAGACTGTCCACACTGCAAGATATGATTACCAACAGCGAGGGCTACAATAGCATCGGAAACTCTATAGTTTATCATAATTGCAAGTTAATTTAGTCACTAGTAACCTTTAAATGAGTACAATTTTAGTTATCGTATGTTTAACTTATGTATATTAAAAATCTAAAAGCTGTTCCCAATAGATTTTCCTTGTAACTGTTCCCCATCAGCTGATTTCTGTATTTGAATTTTTGTCTCAAAGCTACCCGTTGCAGCACAAATCTGATCAGAGAAAGGAATCTAATTGGACAAACTAATAACGAGAATTAGAAAAGCGGCGTCGAAAGATATATTGAATTACATACATATCATAATTTTCTATCAAAAATACATATTTTTATTTTACACAATTTTTTTTCCTTTTCACTCCCTGTCCAGTTTTTTAGAAGGGGAATGTGTAAATACGACCCGTGACCTATGTCCTTTAAGAGTTCTCCGAATGTTGGAGTGGATCAATGAACTGGTGGCTAAACAGATCGTAGATGCTGAAATAAATGGCGTTGGCCAGCATGGATCTGAGCACGGTGGGCGTCAGGCCCTTGTAGAATCCTCGCACGCCCTCATTCTGGAGCGTACTGACGATACACTGCAGAAATGTGGGACAATGGGGATGATGGCAGGAACTCCCCAGGTCTTGCTTAAACGTCTGGAGTTGGATGCGCTTTTTGAGCAAATCAACGGGGTAAACTACTATCTTCGCTGTACCACCGGCCACTGCTGCGTTTACGAGTAAAGAGCCACCGTGAATGTCCATCTTTTTTTTCTGCTGCACGGACATCGTCAGGGCGTTTAGGTACTTATAAAAAAGGAACTTAAAGCCCATCAGCGGAAAGGTCTCGATCAGGGCGAAGGGCAAACCGCGCGTGAATCCATTCCATCCTTTCATAGCGTATACGTGCCGAAATCCTTGGATCATTGAGCGGGCCGTTACAAGATCGGATGCCATCACTTGTGCACGCACTACGTCGAACGGGTAGGCCGCCGTACAGGAGAAGCATCCAGCGATGCCGCCACAGAGAAAGTGCCTCTGGAAGGTGTGCTCTTTAAAATACGAGGCTTTTCGGGATAGTGCGGATAATTGCTCATACGACCAGAATTGTACGAGACCCTGTGTGATGCCCATCACCTGGCTTGTATTGTGGCCCCGCACTAAGCCTCGCATTCCCTCCTCGACGTACAACGTCCTAATGCCGTGCAGAATGCCGCGGTACTTTCTCGTCGAATGGCGACCCACTTGCATCTGCATGCGTAACTTCAGCACGTCGAGAGGATGTGTACAGCTTCGCATCACGCCTCCTGCTAGGCCTCCTCCGAAGGCCTGCAACACGTGGATGTGTGTTACGTTATCGTTAGAACCAGGTTGACGACGTATTCCACCCATTCCCCATCTTGATTACATTATTTCGTTACTAAACGCAGTGCCATCTTGATACTTTCAATTTTAAATTGAAAGTTATGATTTTTTCAAATAAAATCGTATCCCTGCGATATATCGATACCTAAAACATCGTTGGCAACCCTTACAACAAAGGGAACAGCTGATAGGAATAGATTGCAACTGTTTCGCTGTTTTGAAAAATAATAAATAATGTTATGAGGGCAAACCATGCAGAGTGATAATGCTGCTCAAGATACGCCACGCTCTACTTGAGGTCACCAGTCCGACCACGAAGCAGTCCGCGATCATAATCAACAATGAGGTAATCATTAGTTCGGGCAGCATTTTGCAGCCTCATTTGCTCTACCACGGAGACAAAAGCGAGGAGAACAAAGGAATCGTCGGCAGGCTGCAGCAGGGCCAGTTGATAGACGTTCAGGCGGATGAGGGAGGTCGCATTCGATCGCTGAACTTTGTTGTAACCTTTGATCCGCATCAGAGGCATCCGCGGCCGCGCCAGAATGATGCATCCGGATCGAGGCAAGGCCACATTCTTACCCGCTACTCGGCCCATCCGTTGTACGTGTTCAGCGCCGCAGAGGTATCTCGTAATTTACATCGCATCCTGCTGACCGCAGATGCCATGGATCAAAGCGAGGTGCTGCGCTCCAGTTTCGTTGTCCTGGGCATGCGACCGCCCGTCCGAAAGGAGTCATTTAAGCGTTTCCTCGCGCATATCAGCAACTATTTGCGCCACCTGCAGCCGATACAGTCGCTGGACGACGTTCTGGTCATGTGCTCGCCCTTCGGCCTGGAGAACTTCTACAAGACGATCAGTATTGGCAAGGTGTCCAATGTGATGGGACGCAGTGGCTGCCTGTTCGCCATCTCCAATGCCTTACCACTGGGCTGCGAAGGATCCGCAGTTTTCAACAACAAACTGTAGGTGAAAATCTATGCAGTGGATTCTTCAAGGATGCTAACGAATCTCTTAATTTTAGACGGCTGATTGGCATTGTGATATGCACCTCATTCCAGCGGCAGCAGGAGAACGTCAATCTGACATTGGCCGCCAACTTTGGTTACCTTCTGCGCAACTTTATGGAGCAGTTGGGTATGCCTAGTACTACATTCCAGCTAACGCGGGAGCCCTCAAACTTTCCATGTAAGATCACACTAATAGCTGTTACTGAACTTTGTTATAATTCGCGCTAATAACATCCCAGGGGAGCGGACAATTGTAGTGATTGCGTCAGAGGGTCAACAGGGCACGGGCACTTTTATCCGAGTTCACAACAAGCACTTCATCCTCACATGTGCTCATGTAGTGGGTCAGGTAAATATAGAATTTCCTCATCTTTAAATCGTTAGCTACATACAATTTTTTAACGTCGCTTACAGGGCAACGAGAAAGTTAATTGCCGCGCTGCCGATCGAGAGTTTCAGTCGGATGTAATATGGTGCAATCCTGATAGCGAACGGCCCTTCGACTTGGCCCTGCTCACAGCTCCACAGGATGTGCCGGAGAGGTGCTGTGTGCGCTTGGCCAAGGGTCCAGCCACTCTGGGTCAGACAGTTTATAACGCTGGATTTCCCTATTATGTGAATTTTGGCTTCAAATACGACTTCAATCGGCTATATTCCAAGGGCGGATCATCAAGTGTGACACGGGAGCTATCATGTCCGATGGTAGTGTGCAGGCCGGTCAAAGTGGCGGCCCTATGTTTGACCAGAACGGCTGCATCCTCGGTGTATGCGTGTCCAACATCAAGATGGAAGACATCATCTACCCGAACATTAACACAGCCATTCCCATTTGTGATATACGCAACACGCTGCAGCAGTTTGCCCGTACCAACGGTAAGTAGATTCAGTGATACCTGTCGCGAGCCCTTGCTAATATTTCAATTCCGAACAGATGTAAGGGTACTCAGCAATCTGGTGGCCAGCCGCGATGTGGGCCGCGTTTGGTCACTGGAAATGCCGCCCATTAGAAGCAAACTCTGAGAAGATTGGGGCACCTATCCGCTGTTATTGTAATGTGCTTTTTTATAATGTGCAATCAGCTCAAGGGCTAACGTGTTAAGCTTAAACAGTATACTATAAAGAAAGTTAATGTAACAAATATTGATAATTAGTTTTTGTCCAAACAATCGTTCACATGGCTCTGTAACACGCTAAGGGCGTTAAAGGACTTTGAACAAATGGGACAGCGCAGGATGGCCTCTGGTGTCCGGGAGGCGGCGGCACCGGTTGGTTCAAGAACCTGTCGAACGAGAAATAAAGTTAAGGGATCAGCTTGGCTAGCTTTCTGCACATACTCTTACGGGTCTCTGATCGTCACGTAGACTGCTCCGGCTCGAACTTAAGGAGGACGCGGGTGACGCCGACTTGCTAGCCCGGTGTGACTCGGCCAGTGCTTCGATCAGCTCCTGGTTCTTCCTCTGTAGTGAACGCAGGTCCATCAAATACTGTTCCTTCTCGCCGGCATTCTTCTCACGATCTGCCCGCTCCATCTCAAAGTCACGACGATAGATGTCGTTCTGTGTCTGAAGGTGTAAGATCTCCTCCTGCTTCTGGATATCCTTGGCCTTCAGTTCGTCAATGTCCCGCTGCATTTTCGCCATTAGCTCCTGGGCACTGGTTAGATTAACTTTCAAGCAATCGATCTCTTCAATGTAAGTTTTCTTCTGCAAAGTTGGGGTAGAGCTACAGAAATTATACAGAGCCGAGGGACTTTGCACTCACCATTTCGCTGACTTCAAGGTTCTCTGCCACGAGCTCGGAGAGCTGATGCTTCAGTTCCCGCACCTGGCGATCATGCTCGTCCCGCTGCACATAGTTCAGGGCCTGGGCAGCATCCGGCTCTGTTTCGCACCCTCCTCGGGTACGAATTCGAACGAGTGCTGTAATATATTAAGAAGAGCGGAATGCCCAGCGTTTAATTTATTTCATGGGAAGTAAAAAACAAGTTACTGCGTAGTGCCCATTCCATTGCCCTGATAACAATAGAGTGCAATGTAGACGCGCATCTGGATTGCCATTGCTCAAAGAGCATTTATGCGCGTGAGTGACGTACCATTTTGAGCTGCTGCAGCTTGTCGATCTCCACACGCATGTTGTTGATCAGAGAAGTCTTCTCGGAGACGCTCTTTCGCAGATCGTCCTGCTCTTTTTGGCTAAAGTCCTGCACCATTTCGATCTGTGAGATCTTTGTCTCTAGATCGGCTTTTAGCTGCTGATTCTCGGCGCGAAGGCTTATGACCTGCTGCTGGCACTCGAGTAGTTGTTGCTTACACTGCTGCTCCCGCTCGGCGGCCTCCTGTCGCCACTGCTGCGTCAGCTTGTGGTAGTTTAGCATGGTGTTGTTCACCTTGTCCAGCGTGTCTAGGAGAGATAGAAGCGGTCAATGCAAATTGGAGCTGATGGATAGCCAGTTTTTACTCACTCTTTAGGGTTAAATATTCCGTCATCATGTTCTGAAGTTTGACCACGTCCTCAGCAGAGGCCTGCATTGAGCAGAGGCTGGGAAACTGAGAGTAGACACTGCTCTGTGGGGATATAGTCAAGGTTCGGACGGTTAAATATTAGCATTGGATAATGAAAACTCCCACCTTGAGCACGTCGGACTTCACTTCGCCCATAATGAAGCTTGCGGCCAGCGATTGGGCCGCCTGGCTGTCTAGCGATCGAAGCTGCTGTGAGGCACTCATGCTTTCGGTGCCACTTGTGCTGGCAGGGGCACTTGACACCGGCTGCGGTTTTTCCAGCTTTGCCTGCGAGACCGCCGAAGTCGATGCAGTGGGTTCCAGCGCCTCCTCCCCGCTATCTAGGCCGTCCAGCACAAGACCACCTGCGTCGGGCAACAACGATGGGTACGGCGAGCTGCCCAGGATCACAAATGATTCTTCGTCTGACATGGCGCCGTCAGTGTTGGGCTGATACTGCTGCCTGGCACCAATCATTGGCAATCTTACCACTGCGGTCAGAGTTTATCTGGAATTCCCCGTTTTCGGAAAATTTCTGATCAGCCGCGCGTTTGAGAAATCGATAAACTTTGCAACGCCGAGCAGATGTTTTGTTTGGGATCGCAAGCGTATATCTGAAACACACGCACACACATTTAAGTTTAAGGATTTTTGTATAATATGTACATACATAAATGCAATATGAGTGATTCATTTGTCAAATGGGACTTTACACGGCCGCGTCACAATAGGCAAATTCACGAAATACTGGAACGGGGCAAGGGCACCAACCTTATCGCTTTTCCAGCTTGGTTGCGAAGCCAATAAATCCACTCAGCGCACAATTTTCAACTGAAAATGATTATTCCGCAGTATTTACCTTTTTTTATTTTTAGTTTCGTGCAATCAGCTGTTTGTGCTGTTGCAGTGTGACCGAGCTTGTTTTTGAATTAAGCTTGAATTCGCCATTATACTCGATAGATATTTACCGGGCTGCCTATCGAATTTAAATACAAAACCGTAAAGACGACACAAGCAAATTGTATTGCCATAAATCCGTGCTAATTAGGTTGTTTATTCATTTATTTCAAGTGAAAATCCCAGCATCATTCATGCAGTGCCAATTAATCCGCCTTTGTATAGCAGCGCGCGGTGAGATTGATGGGCCTTCTGTCCTCAAAAGCTGGACAAACCTGTTGAATGGCCAGCGAAATTACATCCCATTGTAAGTGCATTTGCCGAAAATCACGGATTTGCGGATTCTAATTGCCTCCTCCAAGCGTCAATACGTTCTGAATCCGCCAAACCGGATTAATTACGCCCCCTCCTCTCGAAAGTATTTCCATTGTTCGCCGGAGATGTGGGTTAATAAGGCTTTCGCGTGTTAAATATGGGTGTGTGACAAGGAACTGGAGATTGCTGGTGATCAGCAGTCAGTGGCTGGTGTCTGGCGGAGATGCGACTTTCGTTGTTATTACCATAACCAACCGGTTTCCCTTGTGGGCTTTTTGTGCAGAGATCTCTGCGATCACATTTCAGAATTAAAAACGTTGGCACCATTAACGATAATCATCATACGGTTTATTACTCGAGAATCTCTATATTTGATCTTACGGCTAATGCACGCGAATAAATAAAATTAAAGAAAAACTTAAAAACGAATACGGTACGAAATTCCATTAAAGCTCAAAGTGCACACATTCGCTCGAGGATGCCGTGATCCCCAACACTCATTCACTCCACTCAAGCACACAAGACTTAGATCTAGGTTTTCCGGCTCCTGGGTCGGAGTTATCCTTACGCCTGCTGCTGGCGGAACAGACGTCGCTGCACCTGATGCGGAGGCTGCAGGTCACGCTGCAGGATGGAGGCAAAGTGCTGCTGCTTCAAAGCGCTGATCGTTGCGATTTTGCGGTGCCTGTTGGGCGCCTGGGGGGCGGCGGCCAAGCCCAAACGGAACAGAGGCAGGTCTTCGTCGCGGGGCAGTGGCCGCCGGCTATCCTCCTCCACGGGCGAACCATCCGGACGCACACGAACCACATGGGGCCCGGTAAGGAAGGTCTTTGGCGGCTCTCCCGTAAAGGCGGAGGCCATGGGTAGTATTTCACTGCTGGCTGCCGGCTGGCGCGATGGATAGCCGTAGGCCATGTCCATGTCCATGGCATACTGATGCTTCTGCTCGCCGCTGTTGTCGAAGAGTGGATTCGAGTTGGACTGCGATTGCGGCAACTGCTGGCGGGTGAGGATGATCAGCGAGGAGGCGGGCGGTGTGGGCAATGGCTGCTGCTGGATCGGCTGCCTGGTGGTCACCAAGCTGGCTCCGCTCGGATGGTCCCTCATTATCGATGACCATACTGCGGAAGACAAGAGAGAAGAGAAGAGGCGGTGGTAAGATCTCACGTCTAGCACGTTGCGCTGGTTCACTGCGGAAGTTCTGACGCGGAAACCCCAAATCGATCTCCCACGCGATCAGTGTTTCGCAGATAGCTCAGCAAATGGAGGAGGCACTTACTCAGCTCATTGGCATCGCGCTGATACGGATCGAGGGCCTCCAGCTGGGCGTCGGAGAGTGTCTGCAGCTTGCTGGATCCATAGCTAAGCAGGTTGTGCTTGCATTGGTTCACCGGCAGCCCTCCTCCAACCGTCGACTTGCAATGAACGCTAACCAGCTGGGCAAAGGTGGAGTACAGGTGTGACATCTGCACGGTAAGCAAAAAAAAATATATGTATATAGAAATTAATATTTATATTCAAATATTTATTAAAAATAGAACATTTGAAGCCTGATTAAATTTATGTATCTAATATAAATCAAATGGTCTGAAATAAAAGTTTTCGTAGTGTTTGTACGAAAAAACAGTTTTTAAATTGATTCAACTTAATTTTCAGATTTCAGCCCATCTAGTTTCTCTCTCTGTATTCTGCATACAGATAGACGGAGAGATGGGAATAGGCGGAGGAGGTCTCCATTTCCCAGCTACTTGGTTACTTGGGAGGGAATTTTGCAATGTGCGTGTGTCATGTGGGGAAGATGATTGCACTTTCGTTGCACAAAACAAACGAAATGCATTTCGACAGCGCCGCCGGGGGCCTGGGAGCTATTGAGCAACTGCCTCCTCTGCCTCTGACTCCCAGGCGGCCTCTCTTCCAAGTGTGTGCCCCAGTTTGGCCTGGGGCTGGGGCTGGGATGGTTTTATGGTTCAGCGGGCAAAACAGCAGCAGCTCATTGTCTATTCTTCGTGGTTAGCAGAGCGTTGAATGGACTTTTAATTAGCGCCGCCGAATGTTCTACTATTTACTCCCGGGTGACACATCATCCACTGACTTGGTGTATGGGAATTTCTTCGGTGGCCAGGTGACGTCAATCAGACGTAGAAACTCCCCAGAATCCGGCTCTTCTCACGCATTAGCACCTCATCTTCAGAACAAATAAACAATTTGGAGCGGCTTCTGCTGGAACAAAGAAAGTAACCAGAATTCGGTCACATACTTGAGCTGGCTTCTTCTCCGTCTCCAAACATACCCTTGATCCGCTTCCATTAGCCCGCCGAAGAGCTTCATTTGCATTGGCTTGGATTTTTCGGAGGGGGTTTTATAATTTTACGCTGTTTGCATAACAGAGCCTCGGAATCAGAGCCAAGTCGAAGGGGGAGTTGGCTCGCATTACCAATTACGAATACCGTTAACCATCCAAGTCGAGCCAAGCAAAAACGTGTGCAAAATGCAAAAATTCAAAGCACTAAAGTGCAATTGATACGTTAACCGCCCCCTCGTGCTTTTATTTAAATATATTTCGAATGGCAACAGCCAACAACTTGACACAAAGTCAAATCCATAAAAAGTTTATAAACTTTTGGTTTGTTAACGTTTTTTCATTGTCTTGTTTGCTGTTTTTTTTTAAATGAAATTTAAAACACATGTAAAGTACGTCAGCAGAGACTTATCAGATCAGCATTTTTATGGTCCAGTCCCTGGCACAATTAATAATAATAATTTGTCAGAATCGAAAACTTAAGCAAAAAATTTAAAATAATATAAATATATCACAAATAATTTATGGCTTATGAAGCGTGCTTAAAAAATAATAAATAATTGCAAAAAACCTTTGTGGGAGTTGTCAAAGTCACGTACATTAATTTGTTTATATAATATAAGCTCACTGGCATGTAGATTCGAGATTGTAATTCGTTAGCCTTCCAGCTAAGTGACTAAACCTAATGAAAGCCTGACTGATCTTGGCCTGAAATACCAGAGATTCTCCGCCGCTCTTGGGCGACTTCCTTATGAATATGGGAAACATTCAATTAGCACACACGGAGGAGAATCCCCCAAAAAATAAGCCCATTAAGCTGTCTTGTGTGGTCGCTTCCCGAACCACAAATATGGGCGTAACTCCTCATCTTCATCTCCACATCTCCGTTTTCATTCCCAACGGATCCGGCCAGTTCAATAACCTGTTGATATGCGCAGGTTACATTATGAAACATCGAAATTGCCAACAAAAGAAATCCACGAAAAAACACTAGCAACAATATGAAACAACATTTCATAACACACACAAGAAATATATAAATAAAAAAAAAAAAACGGAAAACGGTGAGACGCTCCGTAATGACTCCGGTTCGATTGGACTTCGGTTCGGAAAAGGGTTTCATTACGAGATTACCCGCCATATCTCTCTCTTTCTGTCCCCAGATATCCCAACATATTTTTACGTAAAATACAAAAAAGTAATGCGAACATAATTTATTTATTGAAGTTCGGACCGCAAACCGGCTAAACGCGTTTGCACCCATAAAAAAAGGGCAACAACAAATAAGCTAAGCGGCGGCGCTCTAAAAAATTTTGAAGCAGTTGTTTATTTTTGCAATCGAAAATCGAAAAAAATCGAAAGCGCTAGAGTAGCTTCCAACGGTAAAAACAATAATTAAAAATACAAAAAAATCAACAAAATTGAAACACACAAAACAGGAAGCTGAGGCATCCGTCTATAAATAAGTGATCGTGGCGCAGTGAATTCTAATTAGAAATTTACATTAATTGCAAAACACGAGTGTCTATTGCTTTCGCAAATTGCGTTTCTATTTTTTCGGCTTCAGCATCGTTCGCTTAATTGTTTTTTTTTAGAAATTATTTTCTCATTTGAGCCGAGATCTCTGGCATATGTGCCGGATGTGGCTTTCAATCACTTCTAGCTGGGATCGGTTTACATTATTCGGGGGCTCCATTGTCTCTGGAGTCCGGAATTTTAAGGCGTAGTTCGCGTGCGCGACTTGGATTGATGCGCTGCCAGAAAAAGCCAAAAAGATCTAATGACTGGCAAATTGCTATATATAAATTAAAGTCTTTTGGTTAATTAATAAGACAGTAAAAAAATCCAACAGAGCAGCAAAATTATAAATACACATATATTTCTGTTGGCATGCGACTTTGGCCCGGTGGAGTTCATTAACCAAAAAACACAAAATAAACAAAAAAGTGCAGAGAAAATTGCCGCAACGTTGTCACGCTTTGTTGCACAAACATTTGTGAAGAAGAAAAGTGAAAAGCTTTATTATTTATTTTGTTTGTTTTTTTTTTTGGAAGGGGAGGAGGGGTGTTCGTCTCTCCTCAATTTACAGCAATTGGGAATGTAAATTGAAACTGTTGTTTTCATAAATGGAAATTAATGTTGGCTTTTAGGCTCCACTGCGCTCGGTATTTTGGGGGATTGGAGTTTACAGGGATTGTCTGATTAATCGTGGCTATGGAAAACCGAAAAATAAACGAATTTAAAATTGTTAAGTACTTGTCAAACATCACGTTAAGAGGTAATATAATGAATACTATTTTGGTTAAAAATAACATGAGATAGTAATGAATTTACTTTCTGCTCTTCTGTTTTAAGTCGAAATTTTATGAAATCGAACAGGGAGATAGTAATTTGCACACAAAAAAAGTCCATTTATAACAAAGAGATCTGAATACCAAAGGTTAATAATCTCTGATGTATATCATGTTGCCAAGCACTATGTTTTTTCTCTGTAGTTATTATTGCTATTTAAGTAAAATGTTTTTCTATTAGATTGATGATCATAGAATATTTTGAGAAAATTCGGAATTTTAAGGTTCAGATTTGAGTTGAAAATATGCTAGCAAGCTAGTTTATATATGGATGATATATATTTTCTTTGAATACAGAATCCATTTCAAGCCGTATTTGATAAGATCCACATAACTATTATTTCTGATTTTGTTGGAATCTGGTTATAGAGGTACCTTTAAAATAAAGAGTTCTCAAGAATAATGCTCTATTCCAAGTTTTAGGCAACCAATTAATTTGATTAAGGGAAATCCTTAAATCATACCTAAAAAAAATGCATCTTTATTTCAGATTTTGGAATCTTGGCCTTTTTCTGTGAATTCCGAGATGCGATCCCTCAAAAAGTGTAACCAAAACCTTTCCCGCAGCTGCTTCCCCGACTGTTATTTAACCAACTTGCACATATATTTTGGCAACACAGTTTTTTTGTGTATAGCGATCACCGATGACGCGCCTCAAACACGCTCGAGAAATCGCGTGAGGTCTGGACAAGTGGCAACCAGACCAAAAAAGACCGGAGACCGGTATTCCTCTAGCGATGGCCATCGGCTGGCTGCGTTGCCATTATCATCGCGGAGCAATTGTGGGTTTCTGATAACGCCCAGCACGAGCAATGTCAAGATCGCACTCCGCAGGCGTCTATTTATGCCAAGGACCGTTCTTCTTCAGCTCGAGTGGAGCTGTCGCTATAGCTGTAGCTGTTAGCTGTATCTTGTATGTTGGTTACGATGCCAATCTGGTACAGTTATGCTAATGAGCCAGCGAATACCGCTCGCTGACTTTGAACCGTCTTGTCGCCATTCATATTCCATATTCCATATTCATCTTCATATTTATTTCGATTGTCTTCGCGGTGGACGACAACATCGGCAAACAGAAGCGACGGCAAAGCGCCGTTAATATGCGAACTCATTGAAGTTATCACAACAATCAGCATATCCATATCAATATGCCCGTAAATATCAATATCGTTATAAATGGCTATTATGCTCGGATGATCAGCTATTCAGCGCTGCGCTAGATTCGATCTGAGGCACAAATGCTGCTGCCTCAGCACTCGACTGGACAGATGCGCAATGCCAAGGACGACAGAGGCCGGTGCTACGAGGCGTATACTTAATGCCCAGCCGGCCAATGCGGCGTATGCGCAATCTGTGAGTGCAAGTTGTCGACGACGCCGTCGTTTCTCTCTCTTTCTCTTACCTTTTCGTTGCGGGTCAAAAACTCCCAAATGGGAATGGCCGAAGAGGAGCTCATTTGCATTGCAAAGGCGCCCAGCAGGCAGCAGGCCAAGATCACTTTCGCCGCACTCGTCATTGTGGCTGATGGATGGCTTTCTTTGCTCCCGAAAAGGTTCCGCGGGGATCTGTGATCCGTGACCCGTAACTGAGGTCACTTACACGCTCTCGTTGTGTAAGCTTTTGGGCGGCGACTTTCTTTTTTTTTATGTAGGGCCCAATAAAAACGCTTTTGTAGCTGCTTGATGGATTGATTATCACTTGAGCTCCGAAATAGACTTTCTTTTGTCCGACGCACTTTAATTGAATTAGCCAAAACGAGCGTGGCCAATTTGTATTATGTTTTTGTGTGTTATTTTTTTGGGGCGTACGTGTGTTGAGTTCGTCTCAGCTTGAAACGCAAAAGCTTGTTTCACACATCCATCGATCGTGGGTCGAGTAAGGGGCTTTGTTTTATTTTTATCGATCACCGTCACGAAAACGAAAAGCGAATGTTAAGCGGAGCGTCAAATCGAGCTTAATAACACGATCGCGGCAAAGTTTGGGGTCGTCTTCGAATCGGAGCGATCGGCACACTCGTATTTATACTATGAGCGAAGCTTGGCCCCAAGAGAGCTCCAAAAAATGAGAGCTAGAGAGAGAGCTGCCGATCGGCGGAGCCCCAAAGCGGAGCGAAAGCTTAGGGAGAGTGGGATCTGCTGAGAGCGATCAGGGAAGTAGTTAAGAAAAAAGGGTACGTTTTCTGTAAAATATAATTTTGTTTATAATTTAGAAAAGCTAAAATTATCAACTAAAAATTTCATTCTTTTTGAACTATCAACTTTATTTTGTTAAAAACTTGAGAACTTGAAAAATATAGATTCCTATTAATGTATTCCACATACTCCTGCACCATGGAATATTTGTATATTTATGATATTTTAGTATGTATTTATGAATGACAAATGACCAAGAACCTTAAATTAGTCAAGTCCAATAAGTCTGTGACTAAAAGCCATAAAATTAGCATCAAAATGTCTACTTCATAATATAATCTTTGACAAAGGGAGAAAGCACTGGAGAGTGACTCATTTCGTTTAAAAAACTTTTAATTCTTTGTTTAATAAATGTACCTAGTTAATAGATTTCAAAGTAAGTCTTACGCATTCTGTGGTTTAAATAATTAAGGTTCCCTTGCCATTTTTCCGGCTACGCCACTGAGAAATCTCCAGCAAACTTGTTCTACGCCTTGCAATGGAAATAGAAATTGAAAAACAAAGTAAACAATCGAAAATAAACAAAAAAAAAAAAAAACAATAAAAACATTAAACATTGGGGGGCATTCGCAAAAATTTCAAAGTCAAGTTTGCGTCGTCATCGCGTCTGCTTGGAGCCCGGTGTATTAAGAGCCCGGCTTGTAACTTATAATTGTTTATTGACTTCGGAGATAACTAAATTCTCGAATTCTGATCAACAATAACAATAATGCCAATGGCATGTCGAATATTTAACAGTGCAACGCTAATTAAGCAAAATATACACATCAAGAATCCTAATATGCGACGGCGTCGGGATCCTGTTTGCGTATTCAATTTGGATATGGATGTGGATCTCCGTCTCCAGATCGCTTAATTGAATTTGCCAAGGGGGAGCAGAAAGCCAAAGAATGCGATTACTGGAATTTCCTAACATAAATTTGATAAGGCCGCCACCAGAGTGCTCCATTGAGTCATCTCGCGAAAGGCGAAAGCCGTTGGGTTGTTGACACGCCAGATTACGATGCAGAGTGGACCTGGGGATCGGAGCCTGAATCCGTTAAAGAAGCGCCGTTAGTACGCTGCTCTCAATCTCAATCCGAGTTCCATTGTCTTTGTTATTGCCAATCCCTTCCGGGTGGGACTGCGATAAGAAAGGTTCTGCTCCAGTCTGAGAGTGACGGTTAGAGTATTGCTTAATGCTTTTAATAATAATTCTTAAAAGTATTATTTTGCTGCTTTAATATTTAATTATAAAATAAATTTTAAAAATTCGATATTCCCAAATATAAATGGGTTATGTTTTTCAAAAATTAATGGTTATACTGCTTACAGGTGATTGTATTTCAGGAAGTTGCGGTCGTAGCGACTCCCGCCGCCATATAAATCCCGATCCTCGTTGTTGTTGTACATCATAAAAGCCGGATTCTGGTCATCGTCTCCACCAAAGATCGGCACGTAGCTGCCAAGGTTGAGGGTCTGCTTCAAATTATGATCAGGCCGGCGTCCCAGCTGGATGACCTTGCCATAGAGATCAGAGTCTGCCTGCAGGGCACGATCAAAGTCCTTCCAGTGAACGAACTTCACCTGTTCGCTGGGAATAGCATTGTTGTCGAGCAACTCCATTAGAGTATTCGAGTTCACGGGCTGGACAACATTCAGCTCCTGCTCCTTTCCAACCGTATCCCCAGAGTGCAGGCGCCGCTTACTGGGAGACACATCCAGATTCCATAGCCAGGCCATAAGAGGAGTCACAGAGCTCTGAAAGAGATTCTGATTTCATTAAAGTTCTTAGGGATCGAATCCTTTTTAAATTCTCACCTGATCGCTACGTCCTATGCGAGGAATGGTCTTTAGGTTCTTCATGGCAAAGCTCTCGCCTCGCTTGCCCAGGCGGGGCACGTTCTTGGTGATTTTCAGGAAGAATCCAGGACTGTCATCCGCCTGGCTGATGGTCACAACAGCCACCAGGAGAGAAGCAGCTAGAAGAGTTAAGGATCTCATTCTGATGCCACTCACACCTGATCTGATGACTACACCGTAGTGGAAGGTTTTTATAAAGGAAGAATTACCCACATTTGGAGGCAAAATAAATGCGGGTAGGAACTCCAAAAATTAGCATTATCGATCCTAAGGCTTGCTTCAGATAAGAAGCCAAGTGGTTGACCTGAATACATATTTCAATTGGCAGTATCAATAACCGGAGTTTAAACTTAATTATTTACATTTACTTAATAAGATTACATCATTATGTGACTCTCTAACGCTATTGATGATTACAGAAGAAAAACCTAAATGTCGTTGGTCAACTTTAAACTTTCAATATACAAACGATATTAACTTTATTACGATAAATAAATAAGTGTAAACAATTAAGGAAATTAAGAAATGGCCTAGGGTTTAGCGAAACTCCTAAATCAGCGAGCTTTGTGACCATTGGGCTACCTCTGTGGGCAAAGCTTGGTAGCGTTGCACTGCCTGCTGGATCTGCCCGTAGGTCAATGCCATTTTGTGCATCTCAAACTCCTTTTGCACCTTGCCCGAGCCGCTGCTGGTTCCGCTAGAGAGCGGTAGGATCAGCTCGCCAATACGCAGGTGCTCAAAGGCCTTCAGCACAATGGACCGCTCCACACCCTGCATCGTTGTGGACACCTTGGCGAATTTTGAGAAGCGGGCAAAGATTATCTCAAAATTAAAGGGATCGCGGTCGTAGATCTCCGAGTGATGCTTAACGGCAATGATGAGGCACAGTTCCAAAACGGACAATCCGCAGAGCAGTTCGACTTTATCGTCGCTCTCGTACTGCGCCGCTAGCGAAGCCATTTGGTCGGCAGTGATGTGCGGCGACTCCTCTCGCAGTTGGGCCACCAAACGGAAAAGGAAATTCTTGAGGAAGGCCTCGCTAATGTCGAAGTCGTAAAGAGTTTGCAGAGTACGTTGAGCGGCCTGGGTGGCCAACATCTTGGCAAGCTGCTTGTTCCAGCCATCCCGAAATCTGGAGTCGAATGTATATGCTGTGGGGTCCATGTGCCGACGACCGAAGCTGAGTGCCTCCGAGCGCAACATCTGGAGGCTGTTCACGCGCTCCGCTGCGGATTTCAACAAGCTGTTGCTAGGAAGGGTGAGCAGCTCCAGACACAGATCCGCATATTTTTCGAACTGATCCGAGTTGGGAAAGAGGAATACCTGACGGTGAGAGAAGCGAGACTTGACACGCTTCTCCAGCAACTCGATCACGTCCAGGCGGCAGGTAACGCCCAGGACGCAAATAGGCGCCTGCGCAGACTGGGAAACGTCGAAGAGATTGTACAGTAGCGTCTGATTGTGGTGCGTGCAAAACAGGTCGAACTCCTCGAGCAGGAAGACCACGCTCTTGGCGCGTTTGCCCCCCGACTTGAGGCACTGCAGCAGGAAGGCCAGGTTCTCGGCAAACGAGCCAAAAACCTTCCCGTCCGCCGCATTCTCCAATTGCATCTGAACTGTGATCGACTTGAGGGCCAGTCGGTCGTCCGTGTGAAGGTTCCCGTCCAAATGCACAATCAGCGTGTTGTCCACGAACGACTTGTTGTCCAGCAGATCGGTCAGAACGGCATTGATGAGCTTTTGGGGTCAGAAAGGCGGTTTGAGAAGGTTTTCACTAAGCGTCTCCATACTCACCGTGGTCTTGCCGGCTCCGCGCGGCCCAATGAGTAGCAGGGAATTGGACTCGCCCATTTCCGCCGTGCGCTGTAAAAGCTGGCGCACATTAGAGCGCTCCTCTGAGTAGCCTCGCAGCGTTGTGTAGTCCCGCTGCAGGCGTTCCTTGAGGAATCGCCGTGCTTTGACGAATTCCTGCACGGCCTCCGGCATTGTTTGTTTGTTTACGTTTGCGATTTCGGAGCACGATTCGCGCGCGAAATGCTCAGTGTGCCCAAAGGCTTTTCCGTACATAATCCCATTTCCCATAATCTGGTTACTATAAAAACAGTCATTCGATTCGATTATTTATTAAATGGAAGTTAAAATATATGTATATTGCATTCTGAATTTAAAATATGCCATTTGTTAAAAATTTAAATCCTTTAACCTCAATCGAACTGGATATAGGTTCTTTTTGATATATTTTTATTTCGATATTAATGGTGGGAAACATGGCTAAGTTTGTTCATACCTTCAAAAAGGGTGTGCATACACTGCATCCAAACGGCGAACAATTTTGAAAGCAATGGAGATCTTTAAAACAGAATAATTTATTTTGAAATCAAAGTCAAAACATTTTATGCGGGCACTTTATATTGGTTTAATTTATTTTCACTAAATATTGCATTGAGTGATTAGACTTACAATTATACATATAAATAAATATATTTAGAATAATTTAAGCGTAATGACGACGACAGACAAAACAAATTACGCTACGCACTATATTTAATATATATTCTCGCGGGGTATAACGTTTACGCTTTAATTAATACATGCACATATTCTCTAAGTATGTAGTTCGCTTAACCGAGTTGATTTTAATAATTAGAATGCACTTTTGCAATGAAGTAACTGTGTCTATTAAGAGAAGTTCATAACGGGAAAGTACTTTCCCAGACGTCGGATTTTCTTCATGGTGACAAAGCATTTAGAGCCGGTTGTTACATGTATTGCTTTGGTAAGGCTTTTATCCTCCAAAATCAAGTCGATCTGCTCGATTGAGTTAGATTATAAATATCTTTTGGTGTTTCGTTGACTTCTTGCCGTTGGCCTTCTGGCTGATGTGGATGTGGTTGTGATTCTGATTGAAGTTCCTACTAAGATTGGTGTTGTTATTTAAATATTGCTCTTGCTGAAGCGTAGCTTTGGCTGCATTCAAAGTATTCATGATTTGGTCCGTGGCATCATCAGCCTCGTCGTCCTCGTACTCCTCCTTGGTTTCGGCAACAGAGAATGTGCTGGTGGTGTTCAGGTTGAGTAGTGAATATCTGTAATCGATATGTTGGGTGGACTCCGCCGGCTCGCTTTCCGCGTAGCAGCGATGGCGCATCTCGTACTCCTGAGCCTCTGTGATGCGGTCCAACGACTGGCTCTCGCGCATGCGCCGCCTTCTGGTCGTCGTCGATGGTGCTGTTGTAGCTGTAATGGTGCTCTCTGTTAGCTGCTGCTTATCAGCGTGGGAATGCTTGTCAACATGATCCTTGTGCTGTTTCCGGCTCTTTTGAGTGTGAGATTTGCGGTTTTCCTCAGATTTGTTTGGCTGAATTTAAAGTATTGGGTTTAAAATACTTTTTGGTGCTTAAATATGTAAACTCACCTCTTTGCATTGCGATTGTCCCTCCTTTTTGCCACTTACGGAACCGCTTTTCGAGATAAAATTGGCCGCACTGCTGGCCGAGCCGGGTGGCGGATACAGCTGATCCTGCGAGTCGCTGGAGTCATCATGGAGTCTCGCCGATGCATACGAAACCGGACGGGTGTGTCGCCCACGAACTTGTTGATCTTCTTCTTGTTGCGCGTCTTGGTGTCATCGTCGGAGGCCTCTGAGCTGCTGCAGGATGGTGTTCGTATCTTGTTAAGCTTTGTGCGTCGGTGCGTGAGCACAGGATTCTTGCTGCTGCTGGGTAGCGGCTTCAGCTTCCCAATCTCCAGCTCCTTAAGGCCGCTCAGCGTGTCCTCATCGTCTATCTTGGCACTCTTCTCCATCTGCTTGAGCTTTTGGGCCAGCGTCGCGTCCACAGAGACGACTATCTTTTTGCGAGAATTGCTTGGCACACCGCAAGTGGCAAACTGCTGGCCCCTTGATTGATTTTCTGGCGCCTCCGAGCTGGGTTGGTCGAGCAACGACCGATTGAAAAGACCATCGGTGGTCGTGGTCTCGCGCCGCGATGCAGTCACTTGCAACTCGTTGCCTACGCCAGAGCACTCACTGGCCGACTCCTCCTCGTCCTCTTCCCGAACAATGCTGCACTTGCGACTACGTTTGTCCTGTAAAAGTTAGAGCTTTTAATTCGATTTCTTGACGGTAAACGGAAAATCAATAAACTTACTGGCTTGGCTCCATCGTTCGCGAACTGGGCTGCTGGGGTCACGTTAATGCTGATGGGTACTCCTCCTTTGGGGGTATCTGTGGTTGGACTTGGTTTCTCAGGCACTGGCTTGCGACTCGCGTCTCCCACTCTAATGAAGCAATTGTGTTGAGAGCTGAACCCTTACAGGTTTTTTAATAACTTACTTTATGCTCGGATCACCGAGGGGCCTTTGCTTTTGAGCCAGCTCCTCACGCCGCCGTCGCAGGCGTAACTCGGCCAGCAAAAAGTATGTGGCCGTTATGTGATTGTACTTGTTTTTGTCGAGAGCCCTGAAATGATGATGATGGCGTGTCAGTAAGGAAGACATAGTGCTGGAAAATATATATAAATCTACTTACTGCAGTATCTCTTCCTTGGACGCAATATTTCCATTTATCATTTTCTGTACGATAAAGGCATGATCCTCTTCGCCCAACTGCTGGCGGCTTACCAAAGGCAGAATGTGTTCAGTGGTAGAGGAGTCGGGCTCATCGATTGCCTGCAGCCAGGCGGAGGAAGCGAGCTCCTCGACGGTGGCCCGCTTCTTGGGATCCCGCACCAGCATCGAGCCAATTAGGTTCCGGCAATCTATAGATACGTGTGACGGCACCGTGTACTTGCAATCCATGATCATGGTTAAAGTCTCCGAGTCGTTGGCCTTCTCGAAAGGAGCCTGTCCACACACCAGCATGTACAGAATAACTCCTAATGACCAAATATCTGCGGAATACATAAATCAGTCAATATCAGGCTATCAAAGATTCGCAAATCTTGCACTTACCCACAGCGGGCGCATCATAGGAGTCGCCCAGCAGTATTTCCGGGGCCGAGTAGGCCAAGCTACCGCAAAACGTCTCCAGCTTCTGGCCTGGCGAGAACTTGTTGCTGAATCCAAAGTCGGTGAGCTTGACCAGGCCTAGCTTTTCAAAAAACACCACGTTCTCCGGCTTCAGGTCCCTGTGGATGTGTGACGTGTGTGTGTGCGGATTGGATTAAAAACAACAGGTTACGTAAATCAGTGATCGGCATAGAGCACGGCGGCGCATTATCAGTTGGAGCGCTCTCTCTCACCTGTGAACCACGTGCAGCTGATGGCAGTACGTGATAGCACGTAGGATTTGGCGAAAGTACTTGCGGGCCAAATCCTCGCTCAATCCGGCGTCGTGCTTCATTATATAATCGTACAGATCCCCGCCGTCGCCCAGCTCCAGCACCAGGTACAGCTTGGTCTGTGTGTCAATAACCTCGTACAGTCGCACGACATTCGGATGCTGCACCAGCTTCATGCATCTGGGGAGAAGGATTCGAGACACCCTTAATTACCTCTGTACTAATAGAAATCAGAAAACATGTACTACCTCACTTCCTGGAACAAATGCGCCTTGGAAACCTCGTCCAGCTTGGTCTTGTCCACCACTTTGACCGCCACTTTGGCACCAGTGAAGACGTGTCGCGCCAGCTTGACCACGGCAAAGTGTCCGGATCCGAGCGTCTCCTCCAGGTCGTAAGCCCGGCGATCTTGCCGTCACTCACCCCGCCAACGGGCTGCGTCTCCAGCGTCATGATGGCACTCCTTGGCACACTTCCAACAACGGGCTGCGTGTTGCGGCACAACTATCCGCGATTAGCTAAAACTATAATTATAGTGTTTAGTGCGGACAAACTTCTGGGCATTCGGGTTTCGAGTGCTGCTATTTGAACGGGTTTTGATGTAATAGGTTCTGCCCTGAATGACGAGGGGAGCGACAAGTCCACCTGAACCATCGGGAAGATTTTCGGTCGCCTTCCAATAAATGATTCACTCGGTATCTTTAGTTCTTATTTTTGAAGTTTTTCGGGCAGGAGTAGGCCAACACAGGGCTGTTATTACACAAGGGTATGCGGAAAGGCAGGGCTGTTACCGTTTGGTGCGAATCTCCGCCAGCGCCAGCCGATAAAGGGAAAACTACGAAGCGCTGCCCATTCCGCGAAGGGAGGCGACTAAACCTGGCCTCTCACTGACCGCTCGAACGTCTCGCACTTAATACTTGGTTCTTATCACACATAAAAATGCTTACTTAGACTTTTTGTATACACATTTTCGACTATTTTCTGCGTTTTTTTTCTGAATTTGAATTGGTGTGGCCGAGTGCTTCAAAATAGGGAACGCTGGGAAGCGCAGATGCATCGATTGGAACAATTTGGTATTTTCGCTTCGAAATGCATAGTCACACTGGTCTCATAGTGGTGGGTGTGACCAGCTGCAGACATGCAGATAGCGCGTTCTTTTGCCGGCCTCTTCTACGAGGCGGCACGGTATTTGGCTGGACAGAGCGTTGGGCACTCAACATTTCCAAGGCACTCATCCCAAATCAAAATTCTGTATAAAAATATCAATAAAAAGGAACCACGTCGTGTTCGGAGATATAATGAGTGTGAGTCCCAACCCACATAAGAGCAACCCAAATGTAGACCCACACAGCCGCGCCGCAAACTGCGATCTGGGGCACAAGGTGAGCTACGGAGTGGTGCTCCGCTCCGGGGAACTGTCCCTTTCGTTTGCATTGTTTTGGACTCGCCTATTACATGACTTTGATTTTCTCCGTGATAGCTACCTAATGGCCGTGCGATGGCTGATTCGCGAAGCAATCGTTGCCACGACCAAGTCTTCAGCGGATCGCTCAACTCGCTGGCCAGAAAGGAGGAAAGCGAGGAGGATGCAAAGGGCTTGGGCCGGGGCCAGGCACGGGTCGCGTCGGCCTCCAGAACATCGCCAATACCTGCTACATGAACTCGGCGCTGCAGGCGCTGAGCAACCTGCCACCCATGACGCATTACTTCATCAACTGCAGCGAGTTGGTGGAGTACATTGCGGACCAGAGCGTCCGTCGCTGCAAGCCCGCTGGCCTGGCCAAGAGCTATCGCCGCCTGATGCAGGATATTTGGCAGGAAGTTGACGGACAGAAAGGTTCTGCATCATCCTCTTGCTGACAGCGCGAAACCTACTAAAGTTTGTGATTTTGCAGAGTCTGTTGCTCCGCGTGGCATTTTGTACGGCATTCGGTCGGTGCATCCCATGTTTAGGGGTTATCAGCAACATGACACCCAGGAGTTTCTCCGCTGCTTCATGGACCAGCTACATGAGGAGCTCACGGAACAGGTATCGCTGCTGCCACAGTCTCAAAACCAAGCGCAGATGCAGTCACAGTCCGAGGAGCAGCCCAGCGAGACGGACGACGACAACGAGGATGAGGTGGCTCCTGCCTCGTTAACACCAACAACTTCCGAGAGTGAGTACGACACCTGTGAGAGCAGCATGTCGGAGCGGTCGGCAGAAGTGCTGCTCAAGACAGAGTACTTTGTGACACCGCGTCGAACAAACAGCTCTAGCGGCACCCTTCCGGAAGCTCACCCAGTGCAGCAACAACAGCCAAATGGACCTACCGCAGAACAAAAGCCTGTGGAGGCGGCACGCTCCATAATTAGCGACGTGTTCGACGGGAAGCTCTTATCCTCTGTACAGTGCCTAACCTGCGATCGGGTATCCACGCGCGAGGAAACATTCCAGGACCTTTCGCTGCCCATTCCCAACCGCGACTTTCTTAACGTGCTCCACCAGACGCACAGCCTAAGTGTGCAGAGCCTGAATGCCGCCGAGACATCCGCAAGGAGCAACGAAGGCTGGTTGGCCTGGATGTGGAATATGCTGCGGTCGTGGATCTATGGACCCTCAGTGACGCTCTACGATTGCATGGCAAGCTTCTTCAGTGCCGACGAGCTCAAGGGGGATAACATGTACAGGTGAGAGATGGTATTAATTTCAAGATGAACTGAATACCAATTCCCTTTTCCTCTTAGCTGTGAGCGTTGTAACAAGCTGCGCACGGGCATCAAGTACTCCAAAGTCCTCACCTACCCGAGGTGTTGTGCATCCATTTGAAGCGCTTCAGACACGATCTGTCTTACAGCACGAAAATATCGTCGGACGTCTACTTTCCGCTGGAGGGCTTTGATATGCGGCCCTACATTCATAAGGACTGCGCAGCGAGGTGCCCATCTACAACCTGTCGTCGGTAATCTGTCACCACGGCACAGTGGGCGGTGGCCATTACACCTGCTATGCCCGAAATACGCTCAACGGCCGATGGTATGAGTTTGATGATCAATACGTGTCGGAAGTGACTCCGGAACGGTGCAGACCTGTCAGGCGTATGTGCTCTTCTACCAAAAGCACAACCCCCAAATGAAGGTGGTAAGGGACAAAGCTATTAGTTTGTCTACCACACATCCGCTGTGCGACTCGGATATCCAGTTCTATGTGACCCGGGAGTGGCTGTCGCGTCTGGCCACTTTCTCGGAGCCGGGCCGATTAATAACCAGGAGATGCTCTGCCCCCACGGCGGTATTTACATTCCAAAGCGGACTTGATCAGCCAGATAGCGGTGCCCATCTCGCAGCCGCTGTGGGATTACCTCTACCGGACATTTGGTGGCGGGCCGGCTGTAAACATCATGTTCGAGTGCGAGATCTGTAAGCGGGCGGCGGAGACCCTTTCGCGTCGTCAGCAGTATGAGCTTAACGAGTTCACCAAGTACAATGGGCTGCAAAACGAATTCGATTCGACTGCCATCTATGCCATCGCCATGCCCTGGTTGCGCTCCTGGCAGCAGTTTTCGCGCGGCAAGACCCACAAGGAGCCGGGACCAATAGCCAACGAGGGCATCGCTGCACCCACCGAGAACAGCTCGATAAATGGCTGTGTTGCCGCCACCGTGAGCTGCGTGCGATTGGGCTCTGATTATGCCCAACTCAATGCCCGTTTGTGGCGATTCTTGCATAACATCTATGGCGGCGGACCGGAGATCATGCTGCGCCAGGCTCTCTCCGACGACGAAGATGATGCCGGAGAGATTGAAATTATCGATCAGGACGATGAGTGTGATGATGACGAGGAGAATCAGGAGGACCAAGATGAGGACGTTGTCGTGCAAGAGCAGGATATAATTGAGACTGCCGATTATCAGCACAATCATTCCGACACTGAAAGCAACTTGGGACGACGCAATACGCCGAGTCCAACTATCAGTCGCAGTCGAAGTCCGACGGGCAAGCGTCATTCCGAGGAGGCGGAGTTGGATCTGCAGCCAAGTAGTCCAAAGTCAAAGCGCAACAGGTCGAAAGTGAAGGTTCGGCCATGCGTTTAAATATGCGGAAGAAGGGCAAGCGGAACCGCAGCGCCTACAAGCAGCATGCCGAGATGTTTGGCGCCAAAGGTAAGTTTAATCTGCTTAATTCTGGCACTACAAGTTGTATATTATATTTCTTTCCTCTAACTATATCCAGGAAACTACAATGCCAACACACAAGCCGATCCCAGCGGACGAGCAGCAGAACAGAGACAAGGATAAGGACAAGAGCAAGGATCGAACTAATGCATTTCCGAGCGAATACAGCTTACCCATCTCTATACCATTCCAAAGCGACAATTTCCAGGTGAACGGCGTTCACGAGAAGGGAGTGCGCGACAAGAGTAAACTGCTGCGGAACGGCACCAGGAGCGGCAGCAACTCAACCAGCAACAATAAGGAGAACGTGACGCTGCAAAAGTTCGTGACGCTGCGAGAGGCGAATGGGCCGAGCGACGAGACTGACATTTGATCGACGGATCAGCCAGCGGATCGAGCCGGAACAGAAGGAGCTGGTGAAGTTCCTGGACCACCGCTGATTCGCAGGCCCACGAAAACCAAGTTTAGGCGTAAACGAAAGCGTTATTAGTTGTAATACCTCAGTGTGTTTGTTTTTGGTTGGGTTGGAGGCTGGAGGCTATTTAAGCTACATATGTAAAAATGTATTTATAAATTAATCGTATTGCCATTCCCTATAGACCAGGCACCCTACCAGTTTACATTGTCCTGGCTCCCGGCCCAGGAACTATCTTTGTATATATATAGAATATAATAAATATATATATGTGGGAGTGTGATTTAAATTGGTGTAAACATAGAGAATAAATCGTAGAGAGCATGGTCAGAAACAGAAAAATCAATCCCTAGTTTAATTTCATTACAGTGGCCGAGTCGCAGCATTGGTCCACTCCACGACGCCGACGACGACGGCGGCTATTTATAGAGAGCCGAAGAAGCCAGAGCGCGGCAGCACACAGCGCATAGCAGATGTCGGTTGTATGCTGCTCTTCCGCCACTGGCCCAGTTCAAAAAGATTCAGCGAGGCGTGCGGAGGTGGATGCATGCACATCTAGTGACTAGCGAGACTCTCTGGCTGAACGAAAACCACCTCTTTATTTTTCGGCATTATTGATTGTGCCGTGCCGCAGCCTCCGCCGAGATGAATCCGTGCCATGTGTGCCAAGAGCCCACAAAGAACAAGTGCTCCAACTGCAACCAGGTATCCTACTGCAGTGTCCAGCATCAGAAGCAGGATGGAAGACGCACAAGCCCAGCTGCCATCCATTCAAGGTGCGTTCCATTTATCGAGCGATGACCCAACATAACCTCAACCCACCCGCCTGCAGATCGCCCACAATGAGCAGCTGGGCCGGCATCTGGTGGCCACACGTACCATCAAACCATACGAGATTATCCTGAAGGAGGCTCCTCTGATGCGTGGACCCGCCCAGATTTCCGCCCCCGTTTGCTTGGGCTGCCTGAACTCCATCGAGGCAGACGATCACATCGAGTGCGCGGAGTGTGGCTGGCCACTGTGCGGTCCTGAGTGCAAATCCCTGGATGAGCACAAGGCCGAGTGTGGCCTAACCAAGGCCCGGGGTGACAAGGTCAATGTGAGTGAGTTCAACGGGCCACATCCTCTCTACACTTGCCTAAGCACTGTGCGATGTCTGCTTATTGGCGAAACGAGTCCGGAGAAGGCGAGCAAGTTCCAGGAGCTGGAGTCACTGGAGTCCACCAGAAGGGGCTCCAATCAATGGAAGGCGGATCTGGCCAGCATTGGGCAATTTATACCAAAGTAGGTATTAATTGGAAATGGGATAAACATTAAATGGGTCGAACAGACCTTTAACTAAAAGTATTGTTAATATGGAACAATCTATCATATGGAAAAATCGGATATAACTTTACTTTAAAAACAAATTGGCATTCCTTACACTTTTATAAAAATAACAAGGTGTAAAGCGTAATGTAAACAATCTTATCTTAAAAGGTATTCCGTTACCTTGTTATCATAACTCTTCACTGGATATACATATATACATATAAATTTAGACTGCTACCATAGAAATTGTTATCTATAAACCATGAAATATCTAACAATTGACTACTTAAGCAGCCAATTAGAAATTTTACTCTATTTTCAAATAGAGATTTTTATTTATTGAATCTAATAATTTTTGTTTAAGCATTCCTAGTAAATTATTCATAAACCTTATTGATTATTAATCATGAAAGTTCATTAATACTAAAGCTGAGGACACTTGATATGACAATCAAAACTGCTAAAACCTTATCACAATAAATATTAACAAATTTTATTAATAAATCCATTGCTAAGCTAAATAATCACCTTTCAAATCGTTTCCAGATTCTTCAAGACCCAGAAATTTAGTGAGGAAGAGATCATGCGAGCCGTTGGTGCCCTGCAGATCAATGGACACGAAGTGCCCATATCGGATCCACCGCATGTGGCTGTCTTCTACACCGCCTCCTTCACGGAAAACTCCTGCCTGCCGAATCTGGCCAAAAGCTTTAATAAGAATGGTCACTGTATTTGTGGGCACCGCGGGAGATTAAGAAGAACGCCCACCTGAGCATTTGCTACTCGGACGCCGTGTGGGGCACCGCCGATCGCCAGCGCCACCTGATGCAGACGAAGCTCTTCAAGTGCGCTTGCGTGAGATGTGTGGATATCACCGAGCTGGACACCAATTACAGTGCCATCAAGTGCGAGGATCGAAAATGCGGTGGACTGATGCTGCCATCAAGGCGGATGACTGGAACGGCAGTTGGCGGTGGGTTTTTGTATGCTTTCTATTAAGTATAAAGTTGTTAAAAAATGTACCTCATATCTTTTAGGTGCCGTGAATGCCACAAGCAGGTTCAGAAGCACTACGTGGAGCGCATTTTGGAGCGAGCTGGTCAGGATATCCACAGCATGGAAAAGAATGTTGAAAGCGGTTTAAAGTAAGAGTTCTTAACTTTAACCTTATGAAATTTAATATTAATTTAAACAGTAATGTTTTGGGGAGAAATAGTATGACCCTTATTTACCCTTAACTTCACAGATACCTCAAGCACTATGAAAAATGGCTGCCGCCGCAGCATTTCCACATGAGCGAGGTCAAGATCCTGCTAGTCCAATTACTGGCCAAGGATCAACAGGAGCTAATGGTTATCCCAGACGACCGTCTGCTTTTGAAACTACAATTCGCTCGCGAGCTCATTGAGTTGTACGAGATAATAACGCCGTGTAAGTGTGTTATTGTCGATTATCAAGTATACGCACTGTTATCTCAAGTGCCTATTTGGCTGTATTTGCTTTTGTGTTATACAGGCGAAGTTCGCATGCTCGGCACGCTTTGCTTCGAGTTGCACTCGGCTATTGCCGAGCAGACCAGGCGCGTGGCCCTAGAAACGAACCTGTCGCCAAGGACCGACTGGAGGAATCCCTTTTCTATGTGGACAAGTGCGTCAATTATCTGCAGTACGAGTCGGATATCTTCGTTGAGGGTCACATGCTCAAACAGGCCAAGATTAATCGCGATGCCCTGCGCATGGTCACCAGGATCTCCTAAGCTATCAGATGAATCGACTCCAATCAATGAAAGCCTGTATTGAAATTACCAATAAATTGCCTTAACTGAATCCCGCCAATTATTATACTAATGTTGATAAATGGCTTGCAAATTGCCTAGTCATATCATCAGTCACGAGTCCAACGTCATTATTTGCTGCCCCATTAGATCTATATGTGTGTTTCTTATTTATATTCCGGCCGGTGATAAGAACCGTGCTGACAGTCCCGGTGGCGATAAGGATAAGACATAATAAAGGTCGGTATGTGCGTACCGATCGTGACTTTAGAATACTAAACAAGGGTATATGGCCCTTAAGGCAAAAGAATTCAAGACTATATAAAGTCAATCAGTAAAAACCCATTGATTATAATCGCATGATGCAAGAGGCCATCTTTTGTATATAAGAATAACAATCATTATCCGGGCTGTCTGATAATGATGACTTTACTTTATCTAAAGACCAGAATTATGACAAAGTCAGTTCATTTATCTATGTCAAGATATCGTGCCCATTTATAACCTTATACAAAGTAATTTTGGTTGTCCTTTCACCAGAAGTTACCAGTTCGAACCCAAAATCTTAAATCAAAGTCTTAATCAATGCTTGATCTAATGTTGAAGGTATAAAGACCACATTTCTGGACTATATATAAGACTATATATAAAAAACCTCTACCAATTACGTTACTTTTGGAAAGTCACTGACCTAGAGGTACTGAAATAAAGCTATCTGCTAAAGCTGTAATGCTTCCAGCTTTAAGGTGTCCCATAACTTTAGTTATTTGGAATAAGACCTTGAAGATCCCATCGGAGCAAGCACAGCACGTTTCCAGTCATAACATTATAATCGGTTTCATCAGATTCCGATTCACGTGTGTCCGTCATTAGAATTTCCACATGGCCAGGAGGAATTTCACCAGCAGACCAAACTCACCGTTAGTCTTAAGAATTGTATACCTCTGTTCAATATGTATATTGATAAATATTCGCATTATCAGCTGATAAGGCTCCACTCTCGCCTGGCAGCCATTAGAATATAAACCCAACCGCCGCCGACATATTCTAATAGTATGTTTTAGTCGCTGCTGCCATCAGGTCTTTTTTTCGGCAAATGTGATTCGATCCAGCCATAGATATAGTTATAGTTTCCTGACCTTCGATTAACAAGTGTATACGATGACCGGCACGAATGGCCACATCGTCAAGGACGATGAAAATTCGCGATCCCAGTACAAGACGAACATTGTCCTGGGCAACCAGCTTGAAGAACGGGATCGAAAGAGCTTGTGAGTTTTCTATAAGTGATTTTGAAACAACTAGTATTTGTAACACCTAAAAAGGATATCCTAAAGTAAAGGACAAGGACACCAAGTGTACTTTTATGTAATTAAGTGTATATTGTGAATTAGTGAAGAATTAGGAGAGGTTTGACATTAAAAGGTCAATACATCTTCTAATGGTTTTTCAATTGACCAAATTGAGTTAAACTAATCTCTACTTAAGCGATTAGATCGTGTATTATAATTAATTGACATGTTTAATCAAGTGTACTGACTGTATTTCGAATTCCATTCAAGTTTTTCACCTTTTACCAAAAATGCTCTTCAACGATGACATTGCTAAATATTTGTATAATGGTTAATCAATGTACATTGCGTATATTAATTCTAAAATGCTCTTTCGATAGGGTTATGGATACTAAGCAAAAGACTTGTAAAGTGAAAAAACTAATTCATTATTGATGCAATAAAGGTTATCAAAAATGTCCTAAAATCAGAAATATTAAAATACGACAATGTAAAAAAAGTTTATTGATTTGGTTAATTATAAGTATCCTAGTTACTTATGGTTGAATCCTAAAAAGACTTTCTTTAGGCACTCTAGTTCTATAAATTGAAAACCCTTTTTTGCTGATAAATACCTCAATTTTCCTTATTCAATTGGCAATAAATAAGTGTATTATATAGTCGCTTTAATCAAGCAGTTATTTGTTTATCATTCATTGATTGCTAATGCAATAAATGTTGACAGAGTCTGAAAGAGCCAACCCACGGCGTAATCAGATTCCACGATTGGGAGCTCGGGCTCTACTACATATATACACACACTTACGCCCCATATGTAGATAGTATACTCCATCGGGCAAACCCGAAGTGTGGCCATTGGCTGTTTAGAACCACTCGAAACCTTGCCATTGTCATGGGTAGATAAAGGGGTTGTGCACGATTGCTGATTCGCGAATCGCTCGGCGCCTGGTTTGGGTTCATGGTTATGGCGTCAATAGAACTGACTAAAAAAACGTCTGATAACATCTATGATTGGACCCTTTATTATTATTACCATTGCAGTGAGCCCAACAAGTCGAAAAAGAAGTCAAAGCATGACGAGGCAAACGCAGAGGAGGAGGAGGAGGGCTTCAAGTACCATGAGGAAATCAAGCAAGTGGGCTACTTCCAGATGTTCCGCTATGCCACCACTAAGGATCGCACTCTCTATGTAATCGGATTGCTGTCTGCCGTGGCCACCGGTCTCACAACACCTGCAACAGTTTGATCTTTGGCAATCTAGCAAATGTGAGTTAAGTTGTCTCTTGAAAGAGCTTATTTATATCATTAAATTCTTGTTGTATATCAGGATATGATCGACTTGGGCGATCTTGTCCAAGGAAAGACCTACCGCGCTGACGATGATGCCAGCCAGTTACTCCTGGACAAAGTCCAGCAATTTTCCCTGCAAAACACATACATAGGCATCATTATGCTGGTGTGCTCCTATCTATCGATCACCTGCTTCAACTACGCCGCCCACTCTCAGATCCTGACCATCCGCTCAAAGTTCTTTCGCTCCATTCTGCATCAAGATATGAAGTGGTATGACTTCAACCAGAGCGGTGAAGTGGCCAGCCGAATGAATGAGTAAGTCTAAACGTCTTATCAATCACATATTTGGTCACAATTCGGGGAAAATTATAATCACTTTGTCTGCTTATCAACATTAAAATTTATAAATCATCAGAAAGCTTCTAAACATTCTATAATATAAAATATAAAATATATACCTTTTATATAATTGCAGTTTGAAATTTAACTATAGCATTAAATCTGAATTTAATCATAACTAGGCTTAAAATAATCGCATTCTTTGAATCTATATTTATTGATATATTTATATGACAATTTTTTAAGAGAAATCAAAGTTTAAAAAACTCATAACTAAGCCAAAAAGTATTCATTTTAATTACGAAAGCTTTCCAATGTAGTTTTTAAATCTGTAAACTCAAATTAAAATTAAAAAAAACAACATTTTTGACAATTTTAACGATGTAAACCTTTAAAAATTTTGAAAAAATTGGCAAAAATTTATTTTCTTCCCTTCAGGCCTAGGAAAGATTCGCCTGTTGATGCTGATCAAGTATATATATAATATACATAATAGGTCGGAAACGACTCTTTTACGGCGTTACAAGCTTCTGCCTAAAATCATAACACCCAGCAGAGATATGAGAAGGAAATCCATTAGCCACCATGTTAAACGAAGACCTTCTCCAGGGCCTATAATTAAACATCTTTAATCTTTGCAGAGATCTGTCAAAGTTGGAGGATGGCCTGGCTGAAAAGGTGGTGATGTTTGTCCACTACTTTGTTTCCTTCGTGGGATCTCTGGTCTTGGCCTTCGTCAAGGGCTGGCAATTATCGCTGGTATGTCTAACCAGTCTGCCGTTGACCTTCATCGCCATGGGTTGGTCTCGGTGCCACATCCCGTCTGGCCAAGAAGGAGGTGAGCATGTATGCCGGTGCCGCTGTAGTGGCCGAGGGTGCTCTCTCCGGCATTCGGACCGTGAAAGCCTTTGAGGGTGAAGCTAATGAAGCAGCCGCCTACAAGGAACGGGTGGTGGCCGCCAAGGTGCTCAATATCAAGAGGAATATGTTTCCGGAATCGGCTTCGGTCTGCTGTGGTTCTTCATCTATGCCTCTTACGCTTTGGCCTTCTGGTATGGAGTGGGTCTGGTTATCAAGGGTTACCATGATACGTACTATGAAAACTACGACGCTGGCACCATGATCACCGTCTTCTTCTCGGTCATGATGGGCTCCATGAATATCGGAATGGCGGCGCCTTACATTGAGGCTTTGGCATTGCTAAGGGCGCTTGCGCCAAGGTCTTCCACATCATTGAACAAATCCCCACGATCAATCCGATCGACGCTCAGGGTAAAAACTTGAATCAGCCCCTTACGACCATCGAGTTTAAGGACGTAGAGTTCCAGTATCCCACGCGGCCGGAGATTCCCATTCTGAATAGATTGAACCTGAAAATCCATCGAGGTCAAACGGTGGCTCTGGTGGGTCCATCTGGCTGTGGCAAGTCCACCTGCATCCAGTGCTCCAGCGCTTCTACGACCCTCAAGCCGGCAGTCTATACTTCAATGGTTCCAAACTGAAGGAGATCGACATCAACTGGCTGCGTTCGAGGATTGGTGTGGTGGGTCAGGAGCCTGTGCTCTTCGGTACCTCCATTTACGAGAATATCCGGTACGGTCGAGAGGATGCCACCCGGGAGGAGATCGAGGCCGCTGCTGCCGCTGCCAATGCGGCTGTATTCATCAAAAACTGCCCAGAGGATACGATACAATGGTGGGAGAGCGAGGAGCCCAGTTGTCCGGAGGTCAAAAGCAGCGCATTGCCATTGCTCGCGCCCTGATCCGTGACCCTGAGATCCTGCTCCTGGATGAAGCTACCTCCGCCCTGGATACCGCTAGTGAGGCCAAGGTACAGGCCGCTTTGGAGAAAGTCAGCGCTGGTCGAACCACCATTATCGTAGCTCACCGCTTGTCCACTGTCCGCCGGGCAGACAGAATTGTGGTGATCAATAAGGGTGAGGTGGTCGAGAGTGGAACCCATCAGGAGCTAATGGAACTGAAGGATCATTACTACAATCTGGTGACCACACAGCTGGGCGATGATGATGGCTCTGTCCTGAGTCCCACAGGCGATATCTACAAGAACTTCGACATCAAGGATGAGGATGAAGAGGAAATCAAGGTCATTCACGAAGAAGATG